GTTAACAACTTCATATAATATATCAAAGCGATAATGATGCTCAATTGTAATTTCATCACTCTGCTGACAAGAACGACCTGTGCCCTTCACATAACAAGAACTTATATCGGGTATATCAATTTCATGTTTCACACAAAAGGATACTACAGACTGTAGAAAATTTTGCCATTTGTCATCACCTTTCAACTCATAGAGAAGAGTTTTTGTGATAGAGATAGAATCCATACCAGTGAAAATATCTTGATCTTTTCTTTGCAGTGATTGACAAAGTACTTCTGTTACTCTCATTATTTCAACCATTAAGTGTAAGTTGAAAACAAAGTCAAATGAACCCATTGTAGTAAACCCACCACTAGCTTTTGCACGGATTTTTCTATTCAACCCATCTGCCTTTATAATACCAAGAACTTTCCACACAGGTTTATACAAACCAAGCAAACTACAAGCTGAAGAATAGTGTGAGCCCCAACGAGTAGAAGCAGGTCGACTCAAAGTAGTCTGCTGATTACCTCCGATACTTGTTTGTAATTCACCTTTCTCCATCAAATTTTCAACTTCTTCCCTTTGTGCAGCTCTTAGTTGTTGATTCCGCTTAGGAGAAACACGAACCAAATTCACAATACAATTCAACATCTGAAAGAATAACTCAATGCTAGATAATTCGCCTGATGCTGCAACTAATGCAAGTTGTAAGCGGTGGGCAAAGCAATGAACATAGTATGCATATGGACATTCTTGCAAAAATAAACTTTGTAACCCACTCCATGCACCTCGCATATTGCTAGCCCCATCATAACCTTGTCCTCTTATATTCTGTACAAGCAATCCATGACGATCAAGTATAAGTGAACACATCTTTTTGAGAGTTTGTGCGGTAGTTAGGGGTGGCAAACGGGTCGGGTCGGGTCGGGTCGGGTTATAGTTGACCCAACCCATATAAGTGTGACCCGACCCGACCCGTTTAATAAATGGGTCAATATGATCCTACCCATTTATTAAACGGGTTACCCGACCCGACCCGAATAACCCAAAGATCCCGTTTGCCACCCACAGACATTCAAAACCATTCTCGAAATTGACCACACCTCTAGAATTTTTTGGTAGAGTCTCGAATCAGCGATCGCAAAACCTTAACGTGTAAGGCTCCGATTAGTCCAAGGCCTATACAAAGAACCACTCGATCACTGCCACGTCAAAAACATATATGTTTGGTATTCTGTCTCCACAGCTATCGTAATTTGGACGGTACATTGTCAACTTTTTTATCAAATTCTGGATAAGATTGCTGACGTGCACTTTTACTTTCCAAAATTGTAAACAAAAAAAACCAAGTCGCCATTTGACCCAAGACTTAGACATGTGGGACCTACGAGCAGGGAGCGATTGGGTCAGTCTGATTTATTACCACAAATTTAATCCACTGATTTATTATCTTACTCTAAAATTGTCAATTAAGACACCAATCTTCCAAATTTACCCTCTCAATCCCCCTAATTCCCCACTTATAGACAGTAAAATAGTTCCAAAACCAAGGGTATTTACGTAAGTAGATCTAGTCCCTCACTCATGCTGCAAATTATCCCCGCCCGCTGTCAGAGGAACAGGAAAAAATTAAGAAAATCATCGAAAGTTAGAGAAGAGAGCAGAGATTAAGACCTATAGTTGTCTACAGGAGGTGACGAGATCAGGGCTCAAAATGCTGGCGGTGTTTGATCGGACGGTAGCGAAGAGCCCTGAGGGGCTGCGATCGACGGCGGAGGGCGGCGGCGAGAACGGCGGTTGGGTCGTCGCTGGTGAGCCATTTCTTGTCAGTGAAACAAGGGGTGGTGACGATAAGCCTTGGGTCCTCTGTGCCTGAATCTATGGTTATTCGGGTGGGTATGTGTTATACGGGTCAGGCAGGTCAACCCGAATTTACCCATTTAATAAATGGGTAAATTTGGGTTGATCCGTTTATGACCCGACCCATGTAATTCAACCCATACCCATTATAAACGGGTCGGGTCGGGTCGGTGGGTTGGGTCATAGATTGCCACCCCTAGCGGTAGTGTCTTCAACCCCTATTACATCAAAAAAACCTCTCTAATAAAACCATCTACATCAACAAATCTTAACATGATAGCCATTTGCTCACAATTGGATTCATCTCGAGATTCATCAACTAAAATACAAAACTTAAAATCACCAATTTCTTCACAAATCTTTTTCCTCACCAAGTCACCCATAATTTCCATACTCTGATTTTGAACCATCGGTGAAGTATAACTATTATTCCCGGGAGCATTTTCTAAGATAACCTCTGCAACTTGCACATTAAGAGCTGCACTATATTTGAGCAATTCAATAAAATTTCCACGATTTGCTGAATCAAGAGATTCGTCATACCCTCGAAGAGCACATCCTTGACATGCTAGCCAACGAATAGCATTAATCGTAGTGACAACACGCAAGCGATTTTTCTTTATTTCAGCTTCATTTTGTAAGGTTAAATGTTTCTTAATGTTTTGAGATAGCTTTTTCAAAGCATCAAGCATTAAAACATTTTTTGAATGTATTGATCATGTTTCTCCTTCATGCACTTGAAAATGACTATCTTTTCCTCCAGCTCTCTTCCAACTATTAAATCCTTTCGAAGTCCAAGCTTCTTGTTTATGTTGTTGGGAGGAATTGCTCTCAAAAAGAAAACAAGGAAAGCAATAGGCACGGTCAGTTGTTTCAGAATATTCTAACCAAGCATAAGTCTTGAACCAATCATATCGAAAGCTACGCCCGTCTTCATTTCTTGGATATTCTCGGAGGTTTGGTTGGCATGGCCCTATTGCTATGTAACGACGTCGAACCTCATCTTGTTCTTTATATGGATATTTTCATATTGCTTGACGTAATCCTGGATCATAAGATACGATATCCTTGACCTTTTGAATTTTAGGAGGATGTTGCTCTTCTTCTTTATCATCAACTATTGGCTCCGTCGGCGGTGCCTCGCTTGAGGCTCCAATAATGTTTTTTTTTGGAATAAAATAAAAATAAAGTTTTCATTCCCTTTCCAGACATTTTACCTTCAAAATTTAATAGATTGTGATTAGGATATTAAAAGATTGCACATTAAAAGGTTATGATTAGGATATCGAAATCGCTAATGACTACCTAGATAACATCTTAGTCTATAAACTAAAATAATTAACAGAACTAACAGAGAGAGAACTAACAGGCACAAACAGAACTAACAATTCTATTTCATTCATGATGTGATTCTAAAAAAGGACCATATATAAAATTGTAAACTTCTAGAAACATTTAGTAAGGTAAAGGTGAATACGTGGTCCGAAGAAATTTTCTGAAAGGGTAAGTTTCACGAAAGCACAATGAACTACGAGACTAGGGTTTCAAATCTGTAAGAATAAAATCTTGAAGTTTGATCAAAACGGAGAAGTTTCTATCATCATATTGAATTTGAACTACAATACCTCTGGCGTTCAGTTGGTAGATGACGGTAATTTTTTTTCTTTTTTTCCTCTTGAAATTTGAACTACAATACCTCTTGAAATTTGAACTACAATACCTCTGGCGTTCAAAACGGATAAGCTTGGCTTCGGGTTACCAATAAATGTGGCGCATTTTGATAAATAAATGGAGGGTTTTGGATTTACACAAACAAAAAAATTGACAGTTAATAGACACAAGATGTGAAGAAACCTCAAAAAATAAAAAAACGGGTCATTAAAATGAGGGGGAAAAAAAATCAAACTTTGAGGTTAAAAACACCGATATAAATGGAGTGTAATCGAAAAATACTGCACAGCAGGAAGAGATTAAAAAAGCCATCAAAGAAGAAAAAGAAACTGACCTTGATTCGGGGACTCGGGGGTCGGGGCGGTCGTCGTCGGAGAGCTTGGGATCGGCGTCGAGCGGTCGAGGGCTTGCTCGGCGACGGCGAAGTGCTTGGATGTTGGATCCAACCAGGGCCAGCCGGCCAGGGGAGCGGGTGAGACTGTGAGAGAGGGCTCAGACTCGAAGCCTGACCAAGATCTCCGCCATTGAAAGTTTGAAACCTTTGGCCTGGGTTTTTTTTTGCCAGCCCCCTTTTCTGTTCTCTCACTTCGAAATATGTGGGGGAGAAGAGAAATAAAGGGTGGGGCTGTTGGGGGATGCATCTGTCCCTTGGGTTACGGGTATGGGTATTAAAAAAATTTATTTTCTTGTCCTGGGCAGCTGCCCAGGGCAAGGTCTACATAGCTACGCCCCCGGATGGTGCCCAAAACCTGTGTTACCTAGGTACTTCTATTATGAAGCCATACCTATACCGGACACGTGCCCATACCGGACACGTACCCAAACTTCATGAACACTTCTTGGATATATGCATCCATTCGTTCAGACATATACTCGATTATATGATATATGTCTTAAATTCAATCACTTGTCATACACTTCTCGGACATGTATTATACACTTCACATCATTTGTTGAAACTCATTACTCGTTAGACATGGGTTGGGCTTGTTTTAGCCCATATCCAGGTTCAAAAACTATGCTTTAAAGGGTCATTTGGATGTCTAGTTTAAAAACGAGCAATTTCCAATTTATAATGAGCAACATAATGAAAGAAACTTAAAAATGTGATAGGAATTTTAATTCTAATACCACCTAATTGAAAAACAATAATGTTCTCATGTAAATTATTAATTTAATATATATGTTTATGTATATGTGTGTGTATCCCCATACCCAATATCTTACATAGTTATTGTGTCTCGTACCCGCACCTGTACCTGTTTCCAGGCAACCTAGCTCGAAAGTATTATGGTCATCTTCTACATAATAATGTTCTGAAGTTTAGATCAAAAGCATTGCAAAACAAGTCATTTATGTTATTTCTTTTGGTTAAGCTACATACAGTTCCCTATGTTATGTGACTTCTAGTTGAAGGTCGCTTATTTTGATTACATAGTATCATATAAGAATCTTTTGATGCTTAATAATAAAAGAGTTATTTACAGCAAGTTCCTGAAGATTTTGAGAGAGCCATGGTTGGAGTACAATCCTATATAAACATCCGAAGCCGTTCTCAGGATACCGGCTTCACAATTTTTGAGGCACAGAAAGATGAGACTATTGAAAGAAAGGTATGAATTCTTATTAATGTATGATGAAGTTGTTAACACATTCTTGCTTTGATCTAATTCATGTGGTGCTTAAATGTTTATTTTCATTGTTATTGTTTTCTTTCTGTTCTTTTCTAGTTTTGTGTATGGTTTATTGTTTAGAAGTGCTAATTCCTTAGGGGTCGTTTAGTTCATTGCAACTATAGTTACGGTGCAAACTGCATGCAAGATGCAACTACAGCTGTTACACTTGTTCTTGCATGCACTCATAGTTGCATTTGTTTTCAGTTTTAATATTTTGTGACTTCCAGCTGTAGTTTGGCACTTCTTTTGACTTATGACTTGTTTTCTCTTGTAACAAATTGTATTCTCTATCAAAAACTTCTCTTAATCTTTTTAAATTAAAAGTAATATACTATTTGCGAATCATTTTACATTATTTAAATGAGTTTAGTGAATTTTGATTGTGTAATTCCTTATTTAGTTATTAAAAGATAAAAGGTAATAATATTAAGTGAAAGACGATAATATTCACTGTTGTTAATGATGATGATGATGATGTAGAATAAGCAGAAATTATTGCCTAAACCACAAAATAAATAAATAAATTGAGTGATTTTTTTTTTTTACATTTCAAAAGTTTTTAGTACAATATTTACAATAATGTTTATAACATAAAAAATATGAAAAAAATCCAAGAAAAGTACAATCTTCACAAAAATCTTCATACAATTGATCCAAATTTCAAATTAATTTGAGGATCCTAATAAACCCTTCTTTTCTTTATATTGCTTCCTTAGACTATAAAGTTAATTTTTTGTGCCATCCCCTCTCAATAAAACGGCAACTAGAAGTACAATAGACAAAAGAATGATGGTGACAAAGACATGAATCTCGTTTGAGGATTTGAGTTTTTTGAAGGAAATTTACTAAAAAAGTATGGAGCTTCAGGAGGAACGAAAGAATGGGGTGGTGGCTCATTGGGTTTTTGGGTTTGTCATAGGAAAAAAAGAACAATTGGTTTGGGGTTTTGGTGGGGGGATTGGAGATGGAGGAAGGAAAGTAGGGGTTTGTGTTTTAGGTCTTTTATTTTAAAAAATGAAAAAAAAGGGTTTGGGGTTATTAGACTTTAAATTTATAACCCCTAACATTCATTCATCACAACTTCAGAGTCAACTTCAGAGTTTTGGTGCAATGACATGGATTTTGATATGTTATCACTAGCAATTCAAGTTTTAATCCTATTGGCCATGAATTTCTAAAGTAGATTTTAAAAACGAAAAAGGCACCACTCTCTATTTCTAGCTTTCGGCCAATGAAAGGGCCCTCAACTTTCGGGAGCATGTTAGACTATAAAATTAATAAATTATAACCCTCAACTCTTATACCAACTTCGGGGTTTCAGTGGTAGGGATTTTGACAGGGGTGTCAAGGGGAAGAAGGAAGAGGGAAGAGGGAAGGGTTGATTGGTTTTGGTGTATTTTTTTAAAAAGAAAAGAAAAAGGTTTTGGGGGTCACGGGTAGAAGATTGAGATAGTGAAAGAAGAGGGGTGAGGTGGGCCGGCCGGGGTGGTCAAGTTTTCTTGAGTTGGATTGTTGGAGTCGCTGCAATTACTGTTGCAGTTAGGTAGCACAAGTTTGCAACTTTCAAATCTGCATAAGTCTTAGCCGCAACTGAAGGGCATTTACAATTGTAGGTTCAATGACAGCCGTCTAGTGGCAACAAAACAAACAGTTGCACTGGGCAACCATGACCCACTTGCAACCTTTCCCATTGCAAGCTGCTAAACAACCCCTTAATCTATTGTTTATTTCCGTGCTCGTAGAACAGTTTCATATGTAGTTGTTCAAAAATTGTTGATTTCTTCTCCTTGTAAATATCATAGGAAGATAGAAGCCATCTTACTTAAAATTAGAGAATTACTTTATATGACATACAAAGTTGACTTGACTGTTCTATCATCGTGGTGGTTACAGAAATTTCTCAGATGATAAGTTGTAAGCACTATTGAAGCCTTATGTCTTATAGAAGGATCCATACTGAATGTTATAGCTGAGAAATTAAACAGCAGCAGATGACATGATTAGTTGTCCAAATCAATTGTCCAAATGATCTTTACCAGCCATGCACTTGGCAACTACCACTTTGGATATTTGAGTAACCAACTGCACATGCTGGTCATTAGTACAAACCATAGTTAATTTTGCTAACTTATTTTATATGCATAAATATCATATACTTTGGTTAATATAATATAGGTCTGAAGATATGTAGATCATAATGGATAGTGTCCTTTACTGATTTTGATGGCCCATCATCTTTTTAGTTATTATAAGTTGAAGCTTCCTGTCACCAATAATCTTGCCAGAAAGTATTTTCTAGTATGCAAAAGTGTTCCTTAAACAAATTTTTTAGAAAGCCAACATTCAGTAGCATTGATGCATATACGCTACTGCTACACACTGTTGACTTATATCCTTATAGTAACAGACTGACAGGTGTTTTAGCTAAGTGGAGAAAAGTAATTAATATCACAATATCAGGTGAAGGCTTAGGGTCTTCTTTTTGATGTTTTCTGAACTCTTGTAGTTGTATAGAAGATTAGGGCTGTAAACCATACTGAATGCCCAATATTTTGAAGAGGGATTCATGTATCGCCTAAAGTTGTTGATTACATAGCTAGTGAATAGATGGTGCATTATCTAAATCAAAGATCGTAATTGTGCTCCATGATCTCTTTATTTAAACCCTTAAAAGAAAAAATCGGTTAGACTTGCAGTAACCTCCTACACTCATTAGTCTTTCAGTAGCCTCCTACACTCATTCACGTATCATGTAATTAGATTTTTAGCTATTAAGACATGGATCTTTTCATGCAAATTGTACTTTTGACTCTTTTATAGCAGTATAAAAATAGTAAAGAATGAAACTCTACATGGTAATTGAAAAAAGTTTCACATGGGAAAGAGGTCACCATCACTTTGTCTCTTTCATGGTTAAGAATCTTGGCAGTAAATCTGGTCCAGTAAAATAAGTTGCAGGCTTATATATGCTTTTAAGACATGTAGAAAAACAAAGAAGATTAAGACAATTTGATTTTAGAAGACGAGGTGGAGGTAGTTCACACATTGAGACAGGCTGATTGGGAGATTATTTTCATACGGTGCAACATTTGCAGTGAACTAACGTGCCTCAATAAAGAAAAATCTGTTCTGGTTGTCTTGAATGGTTATTTTGGAGGCAAAGACCAAAGATATAAGAAAGGCTGGAGACAACGAAGTTTGTACTGCTTGTGATTCCTAAGAGAAATTACTGTAGAAGATTTATTTGTAAACTCAATAAGTAAACTTGTGACAAATACTTGCTACTCGGATTTGTGTACTTGAATTATCTTATTTCATTTAGAAACTGTTTATGAAGTACTTACATGATGTTGAGCACTTCTTTTCTTAATTTGGTGGTTATAAACAGAAGTTTTCATCATATTCTGATTATTTCCAATTTGGCATATCAACAGTTATTTTAGATGATACTGAGGATGAAATTACAAGAGTTTTATATAGGAGTTTCTATTAATCAAGAAGTTATAGTGTAGACTGTTGCTTGGCGCATGAAAAGAAAAATGTGTGTATTCCATGTTGAATCTCCACTGAACTGTCACTAAGTACTAGTTATTTTATTTGACACCAGGATTTTCTAGAAGATTTATGGGATCGTATACAGGTCCTTTCCAGTAATGGTTGGAAAGCTGAAAGTGGTATGCATTTTTCGTTCTTCATTTTCTATGCAACTATTTGATACTGTGCATTTTCCTTCACTGCTATTAATTGGTTACGTTGAAAGAGTGGCCTCTTGTCTCTGTGGGTATGTCTGTGTGAATTCTGTTCATAACCTTCAATCCTGCCTGATGCGAATTTGAGATATTCTTTTTGTTGCCATTGTCTTCCTCTCTACTTTTTGTTGTTGTTGTTGTTGGTGTTCGCGTTGGTGTTGGTGTTGGTGTTGGTGTGTGGATGTGTGTGCATGTGCCTAAGTCATAGTGGTTGTAACTGCTTAACGAAAAATGTTAAAGGGCAACTCTGTTGTTGTGTATTAATACCAGAGTATGAAATTGGACACTTTTGTCACGTGAGACTAACAGATTGTTCTTTCTATTAGAGTTGAGATAAATTTTGATGCGTCATTGCAAGAATTTTCTGTTTACTAAATTTTATCTATCATTCATTTCCACATGATGTGGAACTTTATGTGGAATTAAATGTCTGAAGATTAACGGATCTGGATAGCAAATGAACTTAGAAGAATTTTGGTTTGCCTTGGAATATGTGATGTATAGTCGGTGATGAAGTGATACTGCCTAACAAACCTCAACTTGCAGTGTTTGATACTGTATTAATCGATTGGACATTATATCCTTCTTCTATCCTTCTTCTATCATATGTGAAAGAAAAAACAAAATAAGGACTAAGGAGAACAAAGAACCTACGAACAATCACTAGTTGATATTAGACACATCTGCTCAATGTGGGAGGATGACTGGAAGATATAAAGGAGCCGCCAGTAGCTCCATTAGGAGGCAACCTATAAAAGAATGAGCCCCAATAAATTGATCAAAGAGCTGAAATAAGCATTCAGTGCTCAAATGATTAGCACAGTCCTGACTGTAATATGAATATGATCAAGTGAATGGACTTGTTTACTATCTGTCTACGTCTGGCAGTGTCATTATTGTAAAAAGCCTCATAAACCCCCGTTTTAGCGAAGACAGAGCTGTGGGTTCTTTTCTTCTTACAGAAGATGTGGTACAACTTCCCTAGGCAACTTAGAAGCTTGAATTATCTGGTCATAATGCTTCCAACTCATATATATGGTCTTGAATTCATTAAACCTTTTTACTTGCATACTAAAAGTTTTATGCCAATTTTTTAGGCAAAATATTCTCAGCTTTATAAACAAAAACATTTACTTTATTATCTATGAAGTTTCTTCAACTATTCTTTGATTGTGTGTAAACATTGCCTTCTAAAAGTTCAGTGCTTAACTTTTTCAAGAAGAAAAAGGTACTTGCTAAAATGAATTGTATTTGTATATTACCTCTTTATGCCATTGTGAACTTTGTTGTATCTAAATCTGCAAGGAAATGTGTATTATTGAGTTCAAAATTTCCACCAGTTTGCTATTTATTTGTCTAGTTCCTTTCTTTATTTTCTGCGTTCTTTGATTTGATTTCATTATATGTAGTCTATGCTATGTTAGCATATAATTTTTCTCCTTTTGTCTTATGCATACTTTGATGTCATTATGTACCATAATAAATAAGACGTTCTTTTCTTTTGTGGGTTTACTGTTGAAAATAATGTTTCCTTGAAGATAACAAGAAAAACTATGGAGTGGTCCATACACCTTTACTCATTTAGTTTTTGTCTTTTTAATGTTAATCTCTACCTATGAGGTATATTCTTTCAGTTCCAAGACCACACCTCTCATTTGAATCACAGTTGGTGGCTGGGTCATCTCATGCTCTTTCTCCTATTTGCTGTCCGGAACAACCTGCACTCCCCTCATCACATTCTACAGTTGCCTTTGAAAAAGAAAAGCATGAAGCTATGATGAAGTATCCACAAAGGCTTCATAGGCTCAATATATTTCCCTCCGATAAAACTGAGGTAACAACCAATAATGTTCACAAGCATAACCTTCGTTCTTATACATCTATTTTAAATTTTATCATTTTATATATATTATGCATTGTTGTTTTTCTATATAGGATATTAATACATGTGTCGTTTCATTGGAGCATTGCATGCTGATGTTTGCTCTGTGGTGTCCTTTAGTAGTATACCAATCTACCTCAGTTTTCATGTAGAGAACCTTTTTTTTAATTTTTTTTGTTGGCAGGTATAATTGTAGTATTTTGTACTAAGGATTTCGTATGTATGTAAAGGCAGGCATATCTTTAAATATTCTCTCCTTTTTATGCCGATAAATTATCTAGCTTTAACTTCAGATTGGAATAGAACTGTTGTTCTAATCCAGCTACCTAAATTATTTCAGCTCTTGATCTAACTGTGCGCCATTAGAGTTATAAATTATTCTATCACTTCTTTGAAGTTAAGCTCCTAAATAATGTTGCAAGTAGTTAAGCATCATCTATGGTCTTGTATATTTAAAGTTAGTTAATTAAATACCTTGTTTCTCCATTTTTTTAATTTCAGATTTCTATGCTATACATTGATTTCTGCTTAAGAATGATATAAACAAACACAAAAACATACACTGGGACACACATGACTGTCAGAAAAGGGAAATTCCTTCATGCTACTGTCAGCTAACAAATCATTTCCATGTATTGTTGATTTTTTTAATCTTTTGTGGAATAAAATGTTACAAGCACCCATCTACTTAGCTCATACTTACTCAATTATTAGACCTTTTTCCAGTTACTGGTCTTTTCTTTTCTTCTTGATGTTCCAAAGATTGTCCAGAACTGTGCGTAGACCTTTACTCTGTGCTGGCATTCTTGTTCTCTTCATTAGAATTCAGTGCCTAATAGCGTTGCTGTCATAAACTCTACTTCTGATGTTACAAGAATAAGCTGGTTATAAAACATGGGCTATCATTTAGAACTGCTGATTTTAGATCGCCGTAGTAAACTTGGCACGAGCATCTTTGTGCCTCTTTTGATGCAGTTTCTATCATCTGTTATGAAGTTGTCATACCTCAGCTCCAGCCTGTTGTTTCATTGATTTTTTCCCCCTTATGGATACTGAATACTGTCAGAAGTAAATATGCTAAGACCATATCTAATGGTGCATAATTTTCTTATTGCTTTGTTTTTCTTGTATTATTAGTTGATTCTCCCTTCTTTCTTGATCTACCTTCTGTTAGCATCTACTGCAATTAGGATACTTCATTTCCATATGTTTCCATAATTTATTATATTTTTTTCCATTTTTATGTGACTGCTAATGCTTCATGGTAAATCAGATTATGCAGCCTATAGATCGTTTTGTTGTCGAGGAATATTTGCTGGATGTGCTTCTTTTCTTCAATGGATGGTTAGTAATCTTGATTTATACCTTAAGACATCATCACGGTTTTTTGGATGCTTAAGGGGGTACTGGCATACTGACAAACTACTTGAAAATATACAACTCTGGCAAGCATAAGTACGGGCTCGGATGTCTTTACAGTTAGCAGACATTTGCAAATGCATTCTGTTTTTGCATACATATGTTTATATGAATTTTGTTGGCTTATATGGTACATGTCTCTTCCGTATGCAGTAGCACTTTTAATCTCAGTTGATGTATGCTATTATACAAATACTGCATTATTTTCTAGTCCGTTGCATTAGTTTAAATAAATGAAAACTCGATAGTTTTTAAAATATCAATTTCTATTAGATCTTCGTATTAATTCAGTAGCAGGTTATTGTAAGTCTGCACCTATTGCTTGGATATAAATCCTGTGTTATTGACATGTACTCCCTCTGAGCTGAGCCATAGGGCACTATAAGGAAAGCCATGGTCATGACAAAAAAAAGGCAGAAAATAGCCTGCAATTTGTTGAAGATTACTTTAGATCTTGCGGTTGATACTGATCTGTTCAAGCAAGTGTTGTCCAAGGTTGAAGGGGCTAAGTGGTTGAGGAGCGTGAAGAAGAGGTGAAATTGTTTAACGAGGCTGTGAATGCTGATAACAGGGCCGAGGTGTCGGATGAGGAAGAAAAAGGTTGTGCAATGGTTTCTCAGGTCATGATGTCCTGAATCAAGGACTACTTGTCAAGAGATTTTGGGGATGAAAACCAACTCCTGCACCAAGAGTTATTCATGCAGAGAGGCCCTTTGGGGGCTGTTCTTGAATTGTCTCCATTGTGCCTGCAATCAACAAGGAATCTCACAAGGAGGCAGACAAGGTGAATGGAGACACTGAGCTTAACAGCAAAGAAGCTCATAGTGGAAGATGGTATCAGAGTATGCCCAGATTCTTGGGGCTTAAGCATATTGTGGACTAGTCATTTGCTTGTCTCTCTCCGGATTTTTCTTCCAGGAGTTGACCGCCTTGGCATGGGGGAAGTTAGCTGGTGAATACAAAATACAAAACCCTTTTAACCCTCATTACCCTGATGTTCGTGAAGAGATCAGCATTTAGGTACCTATCTTACAACACCAATCAAACATGAGAAAGCTGAGATCAGGAACAGGGTTTCATTCTCACGAAAAAATTCAACCAGAGAATCAAGCTGAATAAGACTTAAACGTCCCAGCTTCAACTGATTAGACAACTGAGAAACAACCAAGTGTGGGAGTATCACTGGAATCAAGTGAGGAATTGTTAATAAAGCTTGATTTTAGAGGCTGAGTTTAGGCCCTATAACATCTTGGATGTTACTCTGGAGAACAATTTATTTAGATAGACTCAATATCTGTTAAAACCCTACAAACGCAAATACTTCATGGTGCCCATATCGTAAAGCTGACTAACTTGAGCATGAGAGGCCATGGGGAGGAAAGTCCACCTATGTTTGGCATGTCTTCCATCAGTAGTTCTTAGCCAGAGCTAATTAAGGTATCTGAACACATTTTCAGCTGGCCTATCCAACAATGCAATCCTTACCAATTCTTTCTATCCATCTACTTCTTCAACTGATTTATCCTCTCAACTAGATTTTCGCTGCAGCAGAATCAAAAAACGTATTTAGATTAGTCCTGACATGTCTCAAGGTCCAGAAAGGAATGTATGACAATATGGGGGAAACTTAGAAGCTCAGCATGCTCAGACTCGTCCATAGCAGTTTAGATTTAAGACTATACAAAAGTAGGAAGCCGGAACAATTACTTCTTGGCAGTCAGGAAACAGATTGCTCGTGCACTTCTATAATCTTCACACAATAAAGTTAATGAAGCAGATAAAGAAAGTAAAGTAAAAGGAAAGAAAGAAAATCAGTGCATTTAAAAGCACAGTTTATGCACAGATAAAGTATCCCAAAGTCAGAAACTCAAATGCTATTGTTTTTTGATTCATGTTAAAATATTGAATGGCTTTTTTCCAGCATTATCCAGTATATGCATCTGCACTGTTTCTTTACATATCATTGGATAAACTGAATCTTATCCAAATTATTATGCTGGAATATTTCTTAGATGCTACTTTTTTATGGGATATAGAAAGCTCTAGGTCTCCATTTACAGTGCACTCTGGGGCTGCACACTTAATATAGTTTTTTTCATTTGCATCTCACAGATCATATTCTATTTGTTTTTGGATTTGGTAATTTCACTCCCTAATTTACTTATTTAAGCTTTTACATTTGCATGTTTCTTGCAAAGATAGCCGCAAAGAATGTACTTCCTTCCTGGTTGGTCTCCCTGTGCCCTTCCGCTATGAATATCTGATGGCAGAGACGATCTTTTCCCAGGTGTATAATGCTATTAATTTCATTATTATATATACTATTCTTTTTCTTTTTCTTTTTTCTTCTTCGTGGCATTGAAAGCATCACATTTCTCTTGTTCTACTAAATTCCAATCTGTAGTCAATGAAGAATGGTCACCAGGGTATAAAGAATGCCAGGGGCAAAGTTGGATTAGCTTCCCTTTTCAAATTAGTCAATGAAGCAACATTCAAGTGTTTTTTAGATGTTATTGCGACTTTAGAGGCATTGGTAGTTACCACTTCAGTTCTTTAACTCGTCTCCCAACAGAATGTCATATTCTCACAAACAGTCTTTTTACTGTAGTTCCCAACCTTGGCACAAAAGGCCATATGTGTTCTGTCTGGCATGCATATATTTAAATCAGGCGGTATATATTTGTGTTTATGGCTAATGAAGAAAGCAAGTAATATATTTCGATTCTTGCCCAGAGATGTTGGCTTGTGCACTTTATCATATATCAGGTTTGACTGAGGAAATCATATATTGTATTCTTTATCTGAATGATGGTTGTGAGGTCTTGTGAGTCATTGACAAGTGTCTGATATGGATGGGTGTGTAGTGATGGACTTCAATAGACAAATGAACTTTTAATAATACGTACTGCTCTCCTATTATATTAACTTTATAGGTTTTTTTATAACTCTAGTCTTATTATTTTTTTGTAAATTGATTCTTAGGTTAACCTGATATCATTTAATGTGAAACAGTTAACCTTATTTAAGAGAAAAGTCCAGGAATAAATGAATCGAGGGTGAATAATTTCTAAAATATCTTTATAAAACTAAATTGAAGAGGATAGCAAACGTAAAATGATCTCCAACTGCATACTTTTCTTCAAGTTGACAGTGTTTTATGGTTATCATATTTCTTCATCCTCAATGCAAATTCGTATTATATTTGAACCTGAAAATGTATAATGGTCCTCCTATTGGCATATATTTGCGAAATTACTCGAGGTGACCCTACAAATGAATAGCGTTTTATCTTATTTTATGTGTTTGCTTATTGATTTTGGAAAATTTGTTTCTTTGGTTCTTCTTGTAGATTATTTTGCTATTCAGTTCATTCATTTTGAAATGCACTATATGGAGAGTTCTGATGGAAATAATATTAAATGTTTTCCTGTTGCAGTTGCTTTTACTACCCAAAGCACCATTTAAGCCATTATACTACACATTGGTCATCATTGATCTTTGCAAGGTAATTTCATGCTTATCATCTCTCTGAAAGATGGTTAGTTATAGTTTTTGTTGATTCTGGATTTTTGTTTATTTTGGTAGCAGTTGGATTAGATTTGACATCGATTTGATAAACATCTATGTTTAAGTTCATATTTGCCTTTGAGTTTTCGGGCTATGCGCATGATGGATCTAATCTTTTCCAAAGCTTTATTATTATGAAATTATAAAAGCTTCATGTTTGGCTGTTGCAATAATCAAAGCATACTATGTGGATAGGCCACAGTGAAGCATCCTTTCTTTAGTTGATCATGTGATCAAGTTACTTGTATAAGTTATAGTACTATACGTGCATGTGAACAGGTTAAAAAATCAAGTGTTCCTAGGGTATTATGTGTAGGAATAAATATAGAAGAAATGAAAATGATGAGAATCAGTCATAAGGATGAGCAGCAGTACACTAAGACCAGTGTGATAATTGATAAGTGACTAATGAGTACATCAATTAGAAGTTATAGTTCTGCTTAACTGAGTATAAAATGAGAGAATGGTTGAGATGGTTTGGACACCTGGAACAGCTCTGGACAAATGCGTCATCTAACTTGTATGTATGTATGTGCATTTATGCATGTTTTTTAACATATTTATGTGTGCACGCTTGTGTTTGTGGTATGGGTTTTCTACCATTCATCTTGTTTTATACCTTAATATTACATCTGAAGCTTATTTCTCCCTAATAAAGCTGTAACATTTGCATTACATTTGTACTCGTTCCCCTTATTTATGTTGAGTTCTTAAATAAACAGGTATTGACATTGTAATTTGCATGGTAAGGAGTGTTATTGGTTCATGATTGTTGATTAGGACTAGGACTTCTTCTAGGATTTTAGTTTAGGGTGCTATTCGTGTAGGACTAGGATTTAGATTATAATCTAAGGTGTTATTGGTTTAGGACCAGCACTCCAATTTGAAGTGTTTATTAATTGCCTAGAATTCTGATGGACTAGTTGCCTAGAATTCTGATGGACTAGTATTTCAAAATCCAACTCCAGTCCTACTCTATATGCTTTGATGAGGGAAAGTACAAAAAAGTCCAATTTTAAATTTGAATATTTTGGTCTATTTATTCTTTCTTTTCCTTTTTGGGTTTTCTACGTTAACTATTTGTTATTAGTTACCACTCAAATTTCAACCAAAAAACTATGTTGTGCTGCCACAAAAAAAAAAAGCCTAGCCAGAGCATAGGTGCATTGGCGCCAGGCAGGCTTTGTACAACATTGATTCTTGTGAAATGTTTATCCATATTCAATGCATCTTAGTTTGTATATTGATTTCAATTCATAGATTTTTTTTTTGGGATTATTATATTCATAGATATTTCTGACATATTGCATCTTTCACTGCACTAGTGCAACAAGTATAACTTTTAAGAAAAACATCTCTACAACCTAGACAGAACTAACTAATTTGCAAATTATTAGGCTATTCCAGGAGCATTTCCTTCTGTGGTAATAGGAGCAGTCCGTGCACTATTTGACAGAATCTCTGACATGGATATGGAGTGTCGCACAAGGCTCATTTTATGGTTTTCTCATCACTTGTAAGTCTTCTAAGCCAAACTTGTTATACTCTTCACAGCACATTAAGTCATTGTGTCCTGTTACATACTTTAGAACATTCTACAATTGCTCATATACCAGTTCATTGTCTTAAGAGAGTTTACCAAATGTAAGCCTATAATCATATCATTTAAAGGATAAGGTTTTACTCCATATTCTCCATCTCCAACCTCATCCATTTCAAAATTGAAACGATGTTGTTCTGCATCAAGAAGATTTGGTGCTAAAAATGCTAGTGAGGTGATCGCTTTAGAAGCTATTATTAGTGTCATATTTGTCTTTGAATCTCTCTCTCTCTCTCTCTCTCTCTCTCTCTCTCTCTCTCTCTGTTTTAAAACCAGTTGTGTTTGCTAGAGGTTGAGCTATTTTCATGTGAATGGTGAACAAATTGTTAAGAACTTCTAAGGTAGAACAAGATTAAGGATGATAATTGGAGTGGATAAGAATTATTTAAGCATATGAGTTAGAAAACTGATAAAGTTTTCCCCTTTTTAGCGGTATGCAATGCACAAGCAGGGTTTATCAATTTATGTTAGTATTTGAGATTATTGTTTTTCATTTTGTCTTTTGTCTTCTGAGTTGAGCAGAGTTGAGCAATAAGTTCTTCAAGTCTGAGGGAACTGCTTCTATTTAAGAATGTGAACATTTTGATTGCTTGTCAACTAACTTATGCATTGTGCTTTAGTAAAGGTGACACGTAACTAAAGCTTTCAATACATTAACTAACTTATGCTTTGTGCTTTAGTAAAGGTGACACGTAACTAAAGCTTTGAATACATTAACTAACTTATGCTTTGTGCTTTAGTAAAGGTGACACGTAACTGAAGCTTTCAATACATTTGTGGCTACAAGAGAACCATGCACACTCCATTTTATGTTTTCACCTATGACTCATTTCTCAGTTACATGTTACATTATATTAGTAATGCCAGCCGTTTGATAAATACAGTTACTAGGCAAGATAAATACAGTTAGTATGAGATTGCATTAGACATAATTACAGGTTAGGGCACTTGTTCTGGGGATATTTGGCTTTATTGTTCGATGATACCTTCTAGAAATATCTAACTTTTGTGGTACTACTGATGGTATTCCAGATCAAATTTTCAATACATTTGGCCTTGGGAAGAGTGGGCTTATGTTAAAGACCTTCCCAGGTGGGCCTCTCAACGAGTTTTTGTTCAAGAAGTATTAGAAAGAGAAATTCGGTTATCCTACTGGGATAGAATTAAGCAGGTGATTTTTTCTTTTTTCCATCAGTTCTTGATTGTCAATATCATTATAGACAAAAGTCACTTTTTTTGGCATTCAGTTATCACTCATCATGATCATTTAAGCATTTAACGTGACACTGGTCATTAGTCCAGTAAGGAGAAAGAAGCTTGCTGGCCTGTAAGGGGGCAGTTGTAATGTCACTGCCTAAAAAAACAATTGCTGCCTTAGCAGGCAGTTACATGCAACCATGGACTAACGGTGAAAGCCCCCCGAGGTTACAATCAATTAGTTACTGGACGTGACTGACTGTTGTGGGATTACAATCAATTGGAATTGTAGTTACCCAGAAAACATCGGAAAAAGATCACTTTGAATCAATTTTTTCATCATATCCTGTATCTGGTTGCTTGCTCTTAATGTTTGAGGCCTTTTTATACTGAAGGACTTGTACTTTGTATTGGTTGACCAAGTGTTCGAAGACAAATTTTCGTTATTAATATTATGTGTTACACATCCTGACTCTAGCAAATTAGTAGCTCAAGGACCGCCCAGTTGTTTTCCATGTATATATTAGAAAGATAATTAAAAATTAATGCTAAAATGATATGAAAGTTAAAATGAAAACAGTAAATGACAATAAAAAACAGTGATAATAACAATTAGTGACATCAAGATTGAACTTAAATGTAACTAAATGGTGTATAATTGATTATACTGCCAAAAGTGAGTTTTTCACCCTTGCTACTATTCAGGAATTCCTTGAATTGCTTTGTGAGCAATCTGGATAACATATATCCGTATTTCTCTTTGCAGTCTTTGACATTTCTTGTTGTATGCATGCACCTTAGCGTTGTAAGTATCTATACATGATAGACACACATGTTAATCCACGAATGCATATATTTGGGAAAATACTCAGGGGAGACTGATTCTCAAACAGCTTATAATAACTACAAGCACACAATCTGGTGGATGATCTGTCATTGATCTTGACCTACATGGCTACACTATTTTGAGATCAGTTTCATAGGGTAACTTCAAATGCAATCACATGCACAAATGTGACTGTTCACACACATTTCTATGCTCTTGAGACCTGGTTTGTGATTATGATTGAAACTTGAATGGTAATTTTACTTCTCTTCAGAGCATTGAAAATGCACCAGAACTAGAGGAGTTGCTTCCACCGAAGGGTGGGTCTAACTTCAAATATAGTAGCGAAGATGGTGGAGAAAGCGCAGAACATGCACTTTCTGCAGAATTTAGCAGTATGGTAAAGGCAAGAAAAAGCGTGCAACAGCTTATTTCATGGATCGAAGAAAGTATAATTCCAGTACATGGCTACAAAGTTGCAGTTGAAGTTGTAATCCAGACTCTCTTGGATATTGGTTCAAAAAGTTTCACTCATTTGATTACAGTTTTGGAGAGGTATGGTCAAATCATTGCCAAGCTTTGTCCAGACCATGATAGTCAAATTATTCTGATGGGGGAAGTTAGCTCCTATTGGAAGAACAATACTCAGATGACAGCTACAACCATTGACCGGATGATGGGTTACCGACTCGTATCGAATCTGGCCATTGTCACTTGGGTCTTTTCTCCATCTAATATTGAACTATTTCACCTTTCGGATCGACCATGGGAGGTACTCTCTTTTTATTTGAGATCCTTCATCTTGTATGTGAATTGTGATTAAATTGTCTGGAAGAATAATTCTGTTGAAATTTTCAATTGCAATATATTGAGAGGAAAGAATTCATTTGTCCATAGTTTGCTTGCTAAACATTTTAGTCACGTGTAAAGCTAATATGGATATTAGTGTGTTTCCATGGTTTTGATCCAACAACGGAAACTGTAGTTCTTCAATCTATTTCAAAAGCCATATGTGTTTTTCTTTTTCTTTTTTCTAACAACCGAACCAAGATCTTACTCATAGCATTTTCCTCCTAATTTCCTTACACAGCATATCGTTATTTATGTACTATTCTCGGCATCTTATTCTGTTTAGTGAACAAAGAGTTATATCTTGGAGTAGTTTTCAAATTACTGCAAACTCTACACTGAATTTACTAAATGAAATGGATTAATTTTAGTCATTTTGTTAATTAGAATAAAATTGCAAATGTTCATATTATTTGCTTTGAAACATATAAGCTAACTGAGCTTTTAATTTAAACAAACTGGCAAACTATAATCTCAATAAATTGATTATTTTTTGTGAATGTGCTTTCGTGGTGTTTGCAATTTCTTTCTTTGTATGTTTTAAGAAATAATAAGTCGGTTAATCTCTATTTCTTTCGATTGTCGTAGATCCTTAGAAATGCGATCAACAAGACGTACAATCGTATCACTGACCTCAGAAAGGAGATTGTGTCACTTGACAAGAGTGTTTCATTAGCTGAGGGAGCTACAATCAAAGCTCAGAAAGAGCTTGAGGCTGCTGAAGCGATGCTGGAACTAGTTGATGGTCAGCCAGTGCATACTAATAATTTAGGGAGGTTAAAACGGCTTAAAGGGTATGCTGCAAAAGCAAAAGATGAAGAGATATCCTTACGGGAAGCCTTGGAAGCTAAGGAGGCTCTCATTGCTCGAGCTCTTGAAGAAAACAAGGTAATATTAAGAGGATTATGAGTGCATTTGGTTGAGATATAAATGGCATGTTTACACGTGTCTTTGCCATTTCAATATGTCATATATAGTCCCCAACTTTGATCCATAGCTACAATCATCTTAACACGCCTGTCACAGGCTCCTTTTATGTTCTACACATCTATATGTATGTGTTTTGAGTTTGGGCATTTCATGGTCTGTGATTACTAGTGTAAAATTCTTACTGTAATAATCTCATGATATATAACTTGGAAGTTCTAGAGGCACATGGTTTTTCATGCATGATAAGTTGACAGTGATTAATAGAAGAGATTGCCACAGGATAACCTAATGCCATCGATTATGAGGCTCACTATTAACCTTGTTCAAAAACCTTTTAATTCTCGAATTTCTTAGTGGTTAAGTAGATTGAAAATTGGCGTTTCTGCCTATTTACCCCCCAAATCAACCATATATGCAAAGTTAGCCCCCAATCTTGATATTTGCTAATTTACCCTCCAATTCTACGACATTGTGTTTGTGGCAGTAAGTGGGGCGTAATTTTGCAAATATAGTTGATTTGGAGGGTTTATAGGTAAACAACCCTTGACACTCACATCATTTCATTTATAAACCATCAAGGCATAGAGATCAAAATAATTGAAATTTGTTCAATTCAATGAACCTTATGTACTTTTGATAGGTTTGTATAGTCTATTGTAATAGTGTTATCCCTCTGCAGGCACTGTTTTTATCAGTGTACAAGAACTTTGGAGATGTGCTCAAGGAAAGACTGCCTCCTGTATCTGCTGACGGGAAAATACCAAATTTGAAGGCTGGTAATGTGCAAAGCATGGTTGTGGACAGCGAGGAGACGCCAGCAATGGATGTTGACCATGAGAATGGCAAAAACACCAGGCAAGTTGGCCCAAGCTTGTGGTTTGCTGCTGTCTCCTGTAGATTTTCTGCTTGGTAAGCTTTTAATGTCTATTATTTCAAATATTTTGCAGTGAGATGAATGGTGAAACTACAACGAATGGCTACAACATTGGGGAGCAAGAGCAATGGTGTTTAACCACATTGGGTTACGTCAAGGCTTTTTCAAGGCAGTATGCGACTGAGGTTGGTCTAAACCACACAAAACTTGTTTTATCATTGAAATAACCAACATATATCTGGTTGCTGGCATTGAGGTGATCGATTGTGCTCAGACCTGTAGTAGCTTTTCTTTCTGATTGGTTCATGTTAGTTTTTGTGGTATTTGAATTGATTTAAGGTGGTTCAATTTTTCATCATATTACATTGATGCGTTCAATTGGGCCATCAACCTCTAAACCTTCTTCCTTATTTTAAGTTTTCCTATGTTTTAGTTCTTGCTGACATTATTTTTTTTTTTCTCTGCAGGTTTGGCCGCATATTGAAATGCTTGTTAAGGAGGTGTTTGTTGATAATGTTCATCCCCTGTTCAAGAAAGCTGCTTATGTTGGCCTTTGCAGACAGAATTGATTTGAACTCGCCAGCCTGTTGTATACTAGTTGAACTTTACATTTGTACCTGTACTTTAGCTACTTAAAAACTTTTCCATACCGCAGCAGTCTAAAGTTCTAACTGGCGCTCACTGCCCTTTACTTTCACGCGGGAATATTGTTTTAGTGGTCATGGAGCGTAACTGGAGATTATATTTAATTTTCTGTAGCTGTTTACATGAAATAAATAGGTGAGTTTTGGAAACAAATATATAAAAACGAAAAATGATTAATTCTAGGGGAACAGAGGGGGGAGCATTTGATTTCTCCTTTGATCTTTACCGCCTTTGGTTTCAGTCGGCCTTCCGTTCCATCTTGAGTCTTCACAAAAACCATGATCTGATGAAATTTATTTTAGTCGTATCCTATGCAAAGGGCACGATGTTCCTCTTATACCTAACGAATTAATGTTATTTGATGGAGCTTAATTGTACAAAGTTTGCCATCTTTATCAGCGTGCAACATCCATGCCCTTTTATGCCTCATCAGATAGCTTAACTCAGGACGAGTGCGTGAGTGGTCTTGATACGGTCAAGGATGACAAATCCATTAATTTGGAGCGACCACATACGTTTGTGTGTGAGCATCCGACAAAAGCTATTAATTTGCAACACTCATATCGGTGATGCGGAATTACCGTGAAAAATGCTCTCGTCTATTGCCTCCTCAAAATGACGCCCTCACTAATAATTGATCAAGTGGGTAGCAATAAATTTTGGATTATCAAAAGTCACTATGGACAGGGGGGCTAGATCAAATATGGGACCAAAAAGCCAAAGTTCATGCTAATGACTGGGGGCGGACGACCGTTTTAAGGGCTTTCAAATGGTAGATTTTGAGGAGAAAATATAATATATACCCTGAAAATGTCTTTGTTTTGGGTGTATACTTGAGGAGATGATTAACTGCAGTGATCCAAATATTCATGCTAGTGCTACTCCAATAAACCGCATTCATGCTTTCTAATCAACTAATATATTAGAAATAAATACATCAATAACCACACAGGGAAAACCTTCGGATGGGACGCCACAATCTCAGTAACGGCTACACTACCCAAACATAAACAGACCGTACCAAGTAAATATCCCAAAAAAGACCATGAAAATACCTTTCCAAGACGATGTCAATATTACAGCGTATGGAGCTATTAACACACATGACAACTGCTTCGGCAAAAACCTGGCAACTCTGGAGTCCCAACCATGTACTCCAGATTCTTTGTGCATTCTCCAAGGGCAGCCCATCTCTCGCAACTAGCATTCTCATCGCTGCAATTCCCGTCGCCCCCCAATATTTTGTCGAATGAATCCACATGAATCCACTTTGTTGCAGACCATTTCTCGCCTTCCAACACTGGGCACCCAGCATGAAGACTACTCTGATCAATAGTAGCATCTGGGTGAAGGCTGAAGAATAGAAGAGCATCCCCTCTCCGTGGCTTTACTGAAAACATCAATTGAGGAGCCTTCTTAAGTTAATATGGGTAACACTTAAAAAACATTACAGAGGGTCCTCTATAGAAAAATCATATGGTGAGGAACCGGATCTTGACATGTGTCCCAACATAAAGAAATAAATAAATAATGTTGGATAGTCATTAACCACCAACTTCAGAATTCAGTTGGGGATACACGCCACTATCCACTTACTCCCTACATGATCTTCTATAGAGACCCCTCTAGGAAATTTTCCCCCCTCCATATTCGTGTGGAGGAATAATTATGTAGTCTGTTAACCTGCAACTCCCTTACGACCACAATCTGACAAATCTTCTTCCTTATGCCCCCCACGACGAGGAGGTTCCTGAAAAATAGATTACAATAAATAAAGTTTCTGAAAGGGGGGAAAGAAGTTACCAGATAAAGAAAACAATGATGTAATCGGAAAAGGCAACTAAAGGCATCTCTATTTTATTTTTATTTGTCAACTTACCTCAGCTGATGGGAACACAGTTTCACCGCCTTTTACAACATCACTTAGATACATCAGTACAGTGGCAATGCGATGCCCACCACGGGCAATATTAACCTTATCGGTGAAATAATCATAGTGGGGGTCATACTTTTGGCCGTGCTCGTATCTCAGTACTTGTATGTCTTCACCATTTTCTGAAAAGAGAAGATCAACAGAAATGTCTTTAACAGCTTATTCCATGACACTAGCTTCCATGCGGTAAAGTGCTGCATAACCATGCAGCTCTTAACCAGAAAGTCCCTAAGGTTTGTTTAGTCATGTTCAAAGAGTTAAAGCATAGGAGCAAATGGCAAAAAATTATGCAAGGTCAGCCATGTTTCCAGAGCACAATTAATGATTTAACTTCACATGGCCAAACTATCTCTTTTTATCCTCAGTTATCACCAGAGGATTTACTCATGTCTAAAACCTATCACCTCTTAGCATATTGCAAGGGCTCCTAACTAAAAGCTTGTGCATGTTTATTAAATTATCTACTGAACTTGATTCATTTAGGTGACAATCAAGAACAGGCTATCACTGAGCTTGGTCCCTGGCTACCTCAAGCTTTTTGAGCCCAGTAAATAATAGTGAATATATTTCAAATATGTATGTGAAAGTAAAACAAGTATAAATCTTTTACGAATGGAGCAGTGAAATTTTAGGGAGAATTCAGTAGATATGCTAAAATTATATATTAATTTTTTTTCCTTGTGATCTAACAGTAATAACAGCCAATTTTAAACCAACCACATTACTTTCTTACTTACATTGGCAATGTATGTATTACTAAATTTTTCTGTTTGACATGCTAACTCATAATTGAAAATTCAATGTATGATTGTTTCTGTTTGTTTGACTAGAAAGCAATTATTATATTAGACTAAAAATCATTGAAATTAGATTATAGACCAATGATAAATCAAACTAAACTAGTATTATACTAAGAGCTACACTCAATAAGAACACAAACTAAACTAAGTTTAGATTAAGAGCTAAGCTCGGTCCTAACCTATGTTGCAAGGGTACGGGTACACGTACGAGCATGGGTACACATACGGGCCACGGGACACAGGAAATTTGTAAAATGTAGACTACAGGGACAAGGCTAGATAAATATTTATATACACATGTATTATATATTGAAATTAATAATTTATATGAGAAGAAGGATGAGAATTAAAAGTCTTATATGGCTTTATGTTTCTTTTATTATGTGGATTGTAAATTGTAAAATCACTAGCTTTTGAACCAAATAATCAAACGACCCCCAAAATCATAATTCAAAAACTAAACTATGTCTAAAGGGTTTCAAGAAGTGGGTGTGAAGAGTAGGATATATGTCCAAAAAATGTATGACAAGTGTTTTAAATTAAAACATATATTGTATAATTGAGTACATACCCGAATAAACGTATGCATTTATGCAAGGAATGTCCTATTTTGGGTACGGGAACGGGTATGGGTACGTGTCAGGTACAAGTACGGCTTTGGATTAGAAGTACCCAGGTAACATAGGTCCTAACTTACCAGCCTTTGATAAGGTAAGCACAAATCTGAACAGATTAAGGCAACCCAGTTATGCTCAAGCTTGTTCATTTACTTCAGCGAACCTAGATTTTTTTTAATCTTGGTTCACTAGGCTATAGGCCAAGCCTGAACAAGCTTTTACCAAGATGACCTTGAGCCTGCTTTTAAGCCAATTACTAGCCATATGAATTGTCAGTATACAATTAGTTACTAGACATGTTTATTTAATTGCCCAGCATTGTAACTCATACAACATTATCAGGCTTACAACAAAATTCTCATGCATAAATTGACATTTCCATCCTGATTATTTTTCCATTTTAGAATATCACTCATCAATTCCAACTACAAAAGAGAAGGATATACAATCTAAATCAGACAGTTATATACTTCCTGTTATCATCCAAAGAGACAAAAAAAGGATAGATACAGTTTCGCTATTCAACTAGCGTACTTTTACAAGAATTTTTCAAACAAGAAAACAAGTAGTTGAAACTCTAAAATTTAAACCTAACGGAAAATAGATAAAAAAAAAAGACCCCAAGGAGAATTAAATTTCAAAGTGCATTAGAATCATTAAAATTAGAATATTGTTCTCTAAGTATTCGCATGATTACATGCTTGTTTTGACTAGGCACTGGCAGTTTCAACTAGGAGATCCAAATCTTGCTCGCATTAACAGGCATGACCAAGAAATCATGAAATATGCAGAATCAAAATAACATTATCCTTCATGGACAAGTTAAGAGATGACATATTTACCAGATGTTGCTGGAATCCTTATGACATGGTGAAAATTATTATACTTGACCACAATGTACGGAATCATTATAATAAGCATAAGGTGCAAAATGTATGGCATCTAGGTTATCAGAATGGTCACAGCTTAGTAAATCTGGTTAGAGTAATTGGAAATTTAGTTTGGGATGAAATAGTGTCCTTATCAACAAAAAGAGCTAAATGATCATAAGAAAAAAAGCAATGATAATGTCTGAGGAATAACATTGAGGCACGTTGTTTACATGTTTCGAAAATCCATACTTTCACCAACATGTAATCCTACAAATTTTTTACAATAAATCTTATACCTCCTTTCACAGTTGACATAATGTAATGGCAGACTAACTTAAACCTTAAATGTCTATCGAAAAATTTTGATTACACATCAAAAAAAATCTCAATGACGTGAAAAATGTAAGCAATTTCCCTTGCATCTGGTGAAAATAAACGAAAGTACTATCAAAGGTAAAGTGCAGGTTTGTGCTTCAGAGAAATCTAAACTGAAGTGGTCAACTTAGACCCTGGCACTCGCACATCGCATGCCAATGACATTTTACATATGGAGATCTTTTTACATTTCAAGAGTTGTGCCTTGCTTTCACATCAATTTACAGTACTAAAGCTTACCATAAAAGTATTAATAAGATGCTAAATTAGTAGACTCTAATAGTTATTTTCTTGTTAGGCGCAATAGTACTGAATTCTGTATTTTGACTTGACTTATAAACAGCGGTTTTAAGGATAACTACTAATAAAGACAACTGCAAAAAAATACATTTATTTATGATATTCCTACAGAAACATAATGCATACAGATCTTCTGGATTCAAAAATTTCATGGATTGTACCTTTAGGGAGAAATGTCCACGCTGCAATCTTGTCCTCTACTCCTGAAACAATAGCGTCCTGTACAAAAGTTTATTCAAGTCATGGAGGAAGAATCCTGCAGGCTGAATGGAGCAAATATTGTCTATTATCACCTACTAGGAAAGGAAACAACAGTCCAATAGATTGCAGCATCATATCTGACATCAATCTTATCATATGAAACATAGGGAAATTCTAATTTTCTGAAAGCTACTGAAATAAAATAGAATAGGGCAGGCCTTCTCTAATAGTACCTAACATAAAAGCTTGAAATGTAACTATTACCAATCTGGAAAAGTGAAACTGCAACTAATCCTCTTACGATTAGATAGATAACCTTTTTTCTCCCAGTTCTGCCTGATCTCTAATTGTAAGATTATTTCTCACTAACAGCTAAAAGGAGCCCTAAGAACCAATTGAATTTTGATGTTCCGACTCTACATCTTGTCGTCCCACTATACTTCTGTTTTCACGATATTTGCATCTCCTTGCATGCTTGGAGTTAATGAGAGAGATTAGAACGCTGTCGTTACTAAAATAGATTATTTGACTAACGTTACAATTAGTACATGTTTATTTTCAATATCCTAGTAACAATAACTATAAAATGTTTCTTTAAAACATTGGAGTAACTCATTAAATCACATTATTTGTAAATATGTGCATCGGCCTGAAGCCCACAAGGGTGGGATTGGGTTTTTATTATTAAAGCCCACAACTACGTCTCGAGCCTTATTTGAGGTCCAAAGAAAGGGATAGGGGTCAGGTCTTTCCTAATAGCTGGCCCGGGCACATACCATGCCTAATTGTGTGTGCCTTTCAAATACGCTAAAGAGGCCTGGTGCTAAACTACCACATTTATAGCCTGTTATACAATATAAAATAGCGCAGAAATGTCCGTATATCTTTTCATCATCTTCAACAAACTTAATCTTTGGGGAATTGGAAATAATATTTATGTTGAAAGTTAAGCTTATTGTTACCGTGGGTAGTCCATTGGGGCTATACTCATCAGAATATGAAGACACATCTTTTCATATGAAAAGCTGTATACGTAAGCCTTTGAAACGTCTAAGCGGTCTGAACGAGATTTATCATTAGCAGAATGCCATCTAAAAAGCTGTCTACTCTATCAATATATTAATCTACAATGTTGTCGCATTTTTTCATTGCAGCATCATCATTGTCTGAACAATCAAAAGCCATTATTTGGATCATTTAACTTATGTTTATGCTCGACAAGAGATACCAGGATAATCAAGAGGTACTGTTAATCGCTGGAATCTCTCCTATTGCTGGAGGATTCATAAAGGGTGTGGATAGGGGTGTAAATTGAGCAGATATAGTGCAGAGATCCTGACATTTGAATCTGAAAATATTATGTACTATTTGTGTGCTCCAACATCTGATGAACATCTAAATTATTTATTTGAATTTCATGATTACTATGTCTGCTCCAACATCTAATGAATATATAAAATATTTATTTGAATTTGATGATTGCTACGCAGATTTCAATAATATCCAAATCTCAGAACTCCCGAATTGGCTAAAGAGAATTCTAAAAATAATAATATGTTCTATATAAGCCGATCAATTGATACTTACAGTTAGTAGAACATCAAAGAGTGTAGTAAATAATTTATAATAAGATGGCATACGTTAACTATATATTATTTCTATAATAGCTAGTAGTAACTAAAATACATAAACATTGTAAATTGTAAATTAACTATAAGCAAATAATATGTGCAAATGCTAACCATTACTGTCTATATTATTAATAGGATGCATATAAGAAACAGATTTGGATATTTGGATATGAATTTGAACTCCGAGTTATTATACACACCTTGCAACCCAAATCCGATTCTAGTCGTTAATTTATATCTATCATGTTAAACGTCATTTTCAATTTATTTCAGTTGTATGCCTAATATGAGTTTCTATTACTATTCTATGTTTCTTTTCTTTTTTTCCAAGTAGAATCTAATAGGGAAAGCTTTCCAATCCAAGCATGACTCAACTGGGGACCAAGAAAGAAAAAAGCTACCCTTCTTTTACTGGTAAAGACTTTTTTTAAGACTGTACATTTCAATTGATGTACTAATATGCATAACTAAATCAAAGATTTCCTCTCCTTCAGATAAATTAAGTCTGCTAAAGTTTGCAGCACAATAAAGGGTTTGCTTGTTACAGACAAATGATAAATTTAAGCCCAAGATTTCATTATCTGCGCCATTTAGGCGTAATCATGAACCAAACCAAACAAAAAGAAAAGAAAAGATCAAACCTTTCCTTTATTGATAAACATCCCCGAGCTAGTCCGAACTTCACTTAGAGTACTTTTCCCCGATAAATTATCAGCCACCGCCGATCTCTTCAGCTCTGTTTTCGCCTTCAACATCCGAAAACATCATCAAGACTACAAATTAGTTCTCAATTCACTCAGATCCCAAATTCAAACAAAAGAAGACAGGAAAAAGTTAAACTCACGAGAGATATCAGATGATCGCATTCTTCCTCGGTCAAGAAACCTTCGTACACGAAAGCTCTGTCAAAAAGTTAGATTGATCAGCAAAAATAAAAACAAAATACAAGAAAATGGATCGAGCTTGGGAGAGATAGGAACTAGACCTAGGTTTCCACGATATCTGCTTAGATCTGGCGGGAGAGATGAGTGGGGAGCTTGAGGAATTTTGGGAGAAGAGAGAGAGGATGAAGACAAGTATAGAGATCGAAACCCTAACCCTAGACTTAGTCATCTGTTGGGAACTGGGAGATAGCGAGGTCGAAGACGAGAACCGAGGGAGGGAATTGGCGACTCCTGTAGATGGAGAATTAAACTAAGAGGGGGGGAAACGTAAATTCAGATAAACTAGGAGGTTGAGAATGAAAATTTTGGGACTTAAACGAAGCTAGCAGGGGGAACGAGAAGTCGTCTGCGTGATGACAGCAGGCAGCACGTGGCTTCACGAAGAAAGTCAGATTTGCTGTATATTGTAAGGGGCTGTTTGGTTCGCTTTAAAACCCCGTAGAAACACTTTTCTCCTCCTGACACCCGCTCCACATCGACAAAATCCATTCTAGGGTTTTCGTTTCCCATCTTTGGTTCGCTTCTCCCCCTCGTCCCTCCAGCCGCGGAAATCCCCTCCACATCGGACTTTTTTCTTCGCCCCATTTCCTTCGAAAACGAGAGGAAATCGCCCCCGATCTGTACTATTGTCAGATCTCGGGTAAATGGGGGGAAACACGGTTGAGGGCTAGGGTCACCTCCTCTTTCCCCGTGAGCTCCTATTTGTTGGTGTTTTGCTGGATTTTGCTAAAATTTGGGGGGTTTTGCTGGATTTCGTGGCTTGCTGGATTTTATCAGCGCCTTGTGGCTTGCGGGGGTTCTAAACTGTTGATTTTGTCCGAAGCTAAGTTCTCGTGGCTTGCGGGAGCTCCTATTTGTTGGTGTTTTGCTGGATTTTGCTAAAATTTGGGGTTTTTGCTGGATTTCGTGGCTTGCTGGATTTTATCAGCGCCTTTATTGGGAAAAATTGGGGTTTTTTGCCGACTTTGATCTTCCTGGAAACTGATTTCAGACCTAAGGTATGATTCTCAACTCAGAATTGATTTGTTAAAAATTTTGTATGATTTGAATTATTTAGGATGAAATTTTGTATTTTCTATAGATATCTAGAAATTAACAGAAATTTATCTGAAAATATAATTGTAATTAACTAAAAATGTTACTGTAATTAACTAAAAATTATATTAATTATTATAAATATAATTGAAAAGAGAACAGAAATGAACTGACAATTATCTTGAATGGTCGTAAAAGAAACTGAAAATATTGATGAAATATTAACTGAAAATTAACTTTAGATCTTGTTATGTGTCATTTAAGTTTTGATTATTGACATTGCATATGAATGCTTGGTAGGTATATTAATTATTTCAATTTGATTTTTGCATCGTAGATGGATGGTGATGGGGATTGTACCGATGAACAAAGTGTTGTTAATGTGGTTCAAGGTGCTGCACTATCCGTTCTTGTTATAATAATTACATTCATAAGGAGAATGCAAGCTAGACGTAAATCTATACGTCGTGGTCCAAGTGAGGAAAAAAAAAGACAAGAGAGGTCTAGAATTGAACATATAGAGCGTATTTATAATGGTTTTAGTGATAGTTGTGTGAATTATATTAGAATGCGGAGTGGTGCTTTTGTTAAGCTAGTAAGTATAATGAGGAACAATAGGCTTCTAAAAGACTCAAGGAATATATCAGTGGAAGAACAACTTATCATGACACTAAATATTTTGGGTCATAAATCTAAAAATCGCATTGTGAGATCTCATTTCATAAGATCAGGGGAGACAGTCAGTAGATATTTCAACAAGGTTTTACAAGCAATTATCTGTTTGCGTGGACGCTACATGAGACAAGCCATCAATGATACTCCCCAAGAGATCGTTAACAACCAGCTATACTATCCTTATTTCAAGGTATATCTACATTTTAACCACAGTTACATGTATAAGCAATAAAAATAAATGATAACTTAGTAATGTGATACACGTATTATAGGATTGCATTGGTATGATAGATGAGACTCATGTTGATGCAATGCTTTCGATTAATCTTGTTGCATAATTTCGAGGCCGCAAAGGTGTTACACTGAATGTGCTTGCAGCTTGCGTTGATTACATAATTTGAGTTTGTGATTTCCTTCCAGGAGGCTAAAAGATGTTTGTGATTGATTACATATTTGAGTTTGTGTTGATTACATATTTGGGTTTGTGATTTCCTTCCAGGATGCTAAAAGATGTTATGGTTTGTGGTTGCTAAAAGATGTTTTGATTTCCTTCTGTTTTTGGTTGTTGGGTTTGTGATTTCATTCCAGCTGTAACAATCTGATGCATTGGTTACATGTGCTCGGGATTGTTGGTTGGTGTTGATGGTTGGGTGGTTGGTTGGTTTGTGTTGTTGGTTGGCTAGTGAGTGTTTTCTGGTTTGATTTTACTCAGACTCAAACTCAAAGAGAACAAACTGAATCAAGAAATGAGTGGAAGACCCTTAGAGATAACATTGCTTGGGCGATGTGGGTGGACTATTGTGATAAGTATAATCATGGTGTAACTACTGAGACTTAATTCTCATATTTGTTGTACTATTTATGCTCATGTATGTAGTGACAATTTGATGGTTTGTCCACTTTTTAGATTTTGCTATTCATTCATGTTCTTATATTTTGCTTTGCAATATCAATCATGTATTCATGTTATTATATTTTGCTTTGCAATATCAATCATGTACTCAATTTGTTCTTATTGACTTAATTAGTGATGGCTGATACTCCTAAAGGCAAAGGTGTAGCGCCATCTCAGCCTCCACCCTCTCAACCCCCTCAGTCATTGCATCAAGGCGAATGTGGGTATTTTCCTTTTCAGCAGTCATACTTTGGGCAACCACCTCATGCATTTCCCAACATGCCATTCCATGATGGCAGTTACTTCCCGATGCACCCTCATTTTGGGTCATACACGAGCATGCTAAGTTCTCCTGGGAGGGGTCTGCAAATGATTTTAGAATTCTCCAAGATGCATTATCTAGACCACAACCACATGGATTGAAAGTCCTAATATTAGTGGGGTACAACTTTCTCCCACTAGTGGTTATGGCTCAACTCCCGAATCAGGTTCCAAACGGGTGCTCATAGAAGGAGGGGAAGAAACATCACCAAATCCAAAGAAGAGGAGGAAAAACACATCAACAAATAAAAAAAATAGTGAGACTGGAGGTCTTAAAGGTAACAAACATATGTTCTGGGATTCCCGTTACGATGATGAGCTCATTCCATTTCTTGCCGACATGGTAAGAAAGGGTTACAAACCCGACAAAAGCTTTAAGAGAACCGCTTTTCATATGGCTTCCCCACATATTAATGAGAAGTTTAACACATCATTCAAGTGGGAAAATGTCATGAACCGCATCAAAACTTTGCGTACAAGATTCCGTGATATGGAAACATGTCGTAATCTTAGTGGTGCCGGTTGGGATGAAAGCACCAAGACTGTCATCATGGATCCTGAATGTTTGGATAGGTGGATTGAGGTACATAAACTATTTTTACATAACCCTTGATTACTTATCTTATTTACATGTTTTCATTGAATTAATTCAATTATACTTTTCAGGACAAGAGCTTTAAGAATGCTAAACTTAGACAATATGTCAATAAACCCTTGACTCACTACGATGATCTTTCCCTTATCATCGGGGATGATCAAGCTAGAGGAGAATTTGCATGTGATGCTTGGAAAAAATTTAGTCGTAGTGAGTCCATAAATCTTGGAGATGATGGTGACTCGCCTTTACCTGCCTCACAATCCCCTCAAGTACACATTTTAGATGAGGAGGACACTCCTCCGCCTAAGGAAACACCCGCCATATCAAGTTCTAAAGCAAAGATATGTGTTGCTAAGGGAAAGGCTCGTATGAACAACCTAGAAGATGAGCTCATGTTAAAAATGGTGGATAAGATAGATGTATTTAGCGCAAACATGAAGTGTGTAAATATGCATTGGACCGAGAAGTTATCCACGGTCATATATGCTCATTTACAAGATTTTAGTGTTGAAAAGCTAGATACATACTACCGACACTTATATTTGAATGAGCATGAAGCAAGACTATTTATGGGCATATCATCGGTTGGTCAAAAAGAGATGATTGCTACCTTTCTCAACGAAGGGGGTTGAAGACCGATAGAAGAAGTCTCTACGTGGTATTTTGTGATTCTCATTTCTAACATACTTGTGAAATCCACTTACTTTTGGTGATAATGTTTTTATTGTGTTTGTGGAACATTATGATGATGGAACATATTGTTGTAATATGTAGTAAGTATTTATTTGCTTCCATTTTGTAATATTTATCTTCCATGATTAATATCATTTTGTGGAATACTAACTTTTGTAATTGAATTTGTGAATGCAGGATATTTCCTAAGATGCAAGCAACCTACAATGTGTACACATTGTACTGGATGGCTATTGCTCTGGGGCATTTAGGTATTTGGTTTTCGTTGGTGATTTTTTTATTTTTAGGCTATGATGATTGTCAATTTTTCTGAGATTAGCAACCTGCAATATCTATTGATATTGCATTGGATGGCTAACAATGATGATATTGACCAAGTTCTGAGCCCTAAGCTAAACACAACATGTGCTCGGGGTTGTTGGTAGTTGTTGTTGTTGGTTGTTGTTGTTGTTGGTTGTTGCTAGTTGTTCTGATTTGGTTGTTGTTGGTCTGGTCTGGTTGTTGTTGGTTGTTGCTGGTTGTGGCTAGTTTGGTTGTTGCTGGTTAGTTTGGTTTGTTGCTGGTTTTTGCTGGTTGGTGGTTTTTTGGGTTTGTTGTTGCTGGTTGTTGGTTGATCTTGTTGTTGGGTTTGTGGTTTCTTGTTGTTGCTGGTTTGTGGTTAGTTTGGTTGTTGGGTTTGTGGTTTCTTGTTGTTGCTGGTTGTTGGTTGTTCTCTTACGTTGTTGGGTTTGTGGTTTCTTGTTGTTGCTGATATGGTGTTCTCTACGTTGTTCCTTCTGTTTTTGGTTTTGGGTTGGTGATTTCATTCCAGGTTGCCTAAAAGAAGTTCTTGTTTGTTGTTGGGTTTGTGATTTCCTTCCAGGTTGGTTTTTGGCTTTGTTGTTGTGTCCAGGTTTGTGACAATTTCCAGTTTTGTGCACACGCAGTTTTGTGAGCTCACTGTTTGTGGATGCTCTGTTGTTCAACTTCTATTTGAGCTAAATATTTTGTGGAGTTCTATGTGTGCTCAGATTTTCCGCACTGTTTGTGTTGATTATGATACTGTTTGTGGGTGTTCAATTTAGGCTATGATGATTGTTAATTTTTCTGAGATTAGCAACCTGGCAATATCTATTGATATTGCACTGGATGGCTAACGATGATGAAATTGAACAAGTTCTGAGCCCACAGTCATAATTCACATATACTGAGGCTATTTGCTATGTTATATACTAAAATATGGCTATTCAGCCCGTTTATATGTTTTTATAGGTTTCAGAAATTTTTTTGGGCTAATTCAGGTACGTATTTCATAAATTTATGAATAATCAGGTTATTACAGGGCTTGTTTATTTTTTCTTGGAAAACAGGTTTTGTGTGATTATTTTCATCTCAAACAGGTATATTTCATGTCAAATCAGGTACGCAGTTCATGTTACATGTAGGTTTCAGATGATTTCAGGTTTCGTATGATTTCATTAATACAAACAGAAATTTATAATTCATTCGGGTTATTTTTATTTGTTCACGATACATTCGCACTTTTATATGATTAAGATTAATCTCATAACTGCACAAATAATTTTTGTCTATAGTGGGGGGTTAATCTTACCATGGTGACTCTAAACACTTTTCCTACACACTTCAAAACCAACCAAACACAAGAAAAGTGGGAAATAGTCAAATCAACAAAAGTTTTCCCTTTTTTCTCATGCAAACCAAACACAAGAAAAGTAAAACATTGGTCATTTTGTTTTTGTTTCTCAGCTATTTGCAATCAACGCAAAACAAACTATTTCTTGGAAAAGTTTGGAAAACTAAAAACATTGGTTTCTTTACATGGAATTACATTTTCCCTATATCTAGGAAACGAACGCAAACAGCGCCTCTTAGTCCAAAGATGTGTCATCCTGGGACTAATTAAGTCTAAGTTAATGTTTATTTTTACACGGACTAATATAATATTAGGACTAATTGAAAATAATCTAGAATAGTATTTGTTTATTGTTATGACCGTTGGGACTAATATCATAATCATAATAACTTTCTGTCCTCAGTCAAAATTAATATTTCATTAGTGGTCGATTGGCAAAAATATAAAAAATTTGGACATGAATTTGTCTGAAAATTTGCGGACGCTTTTGATGAGAGTTGAGAATCTCATATAATTAAAGCTTGGTGGCCTATTAAACATGAGAGTGTGCACCAAGTATGAAATAAATGAAGTGACTTGATGTTCAAAGCTATGGACTGGAGTGAAAATACATTAAAATGGACGGGGTGTTGTGTTAGATATTTGCTAGTGTCTACCGAGGAATATTTTTCAAGATGTATATTATTTACAAAATAATAAGATAAAATCTAAACTATAAATATTTAAGAAAGTTAACAACAAATCTTTTTGCTATTATTTCATCGTGCTAAAAACTTTTATTTTAGCCATGAATGTTTAAATTATGCTTTAAATAATTTGTTAAACTTACAATATACTTAATGAGAAGAAAAGAGTTAGCAATATATCTATTTTATAAAATAAGACTAAATCCCTTTTTTTTTTTTTGATATAATTCTTCATATTAAAAATGCTTTATCGTGAGTCATTAGAACATATTGTTTGTATCAGAATTAATATGTTAATGATGGGTTACAAAAGTATAAATTTAATTCATGGGTTAAATTATTTGAGGCTATATATTTTCAGTGGGTTTTTTATACATGATAAAGATAACTTTTCATATTCTCAATACTATCATATTGTTCATTTGAATTGTAAAAAATAATTAATATCTAAAATTCTAAGAGAGTTGCTGGCAAGTGGTGACAGTAAAGGCTTATTTTAGTGTGTGTGTTGTGTGTGCGTGTGTGTATATATATAAAAAGAGAAAATATGGAGAAACTTAGTACCAAGTTGCTCCAAACAACTTGGTAGTGTATGTGGGCCTAATATAGCCCTACATCACACCTCGAAGATAAAGTCTCAACTACCTTTCACCCTCAACCACCTTTCACCAACTCTAATGTAGATGTAGGGACGCAGATTAGAACGACGTCACTACCAAGTTGTTTTGAGCAACTTGATACCAAGTTTCTCCATTTTTTCATATATATATATATATATTATATATATATATATATATGAGAAAAATGGGTATGCTTGGTACCAAGCACAAATTTTGTGCTTGGTAGTGATGTGTCACATCCTCATCCACTCACTAATACATGTGAATGTGATCCCATATTTGAATGAGTGGAGGAAGATGTGACACATCACTACCAAGCATAACTTTTTGTGTTTGGTACCAAAGCATACCCATATTGATATATATATATATATATATATATATATATATATATATATATAATTATTATAGGCTAACAAAGAAAGAAGAATAACAAAATAAAGATGCATTGATCTATGTGTGTTTTAACTTGCAAGAAAACAAATATCATGGTGGTAGAACTGTAATGTGCCATGTGAATGCAGACGCAGACGTAAAAAATAGTTGAAGTTTAGAAAACGGACATCCAACTAATGTTAATGAATGCAAGCTGTGAATCATAATGAGAAGAGAACCAATTAGGATAGAGTTGTTGTTTAGTTGCACTTGACTTGTCACTTGCTTACATATGACTCGGAGACTTGAGAGACCCTTCATTAATTTCCTTGCTTTTTTAACCGGGATGAGTTCAGAATGATATGTACGTGTGCAAAAGTACTGAGAAGAAAGATGCCGGAAAAGAAAAATGAACTGGAGAAAGAAAAAAAAATTGTGAAAAACATGAAAAGAAGAGTGCTAATTTTGTCTCAAAATCTTAATACCCCTAAATCATCAATACCCAGATTATAAAGTTTGGGGGTAAGTTGCGTTTTATATTAGTCCCCTTTTTGCAGTTTTTTGGATATTACTTAATCCCTCCCCAAAAATAGTCCCAACTAGTTAAACAAACAAACAAACATAGTATAACAAAGCGGGTCCGAACTAATTTAAAATAGTACCCGGACTGTTACAAAAACAAACATGGCCTAAATCTTCAATAATTCCATATTGGTCGCTGAAATCTTGGAAATTACATATTAGTCCTTTAAATCCTTCCAAATTATATTTTAGTTTTCGTAGTAACAGATGTAAAAGATCTTCTTTTTTATCTTTCAAAGGTTTGAGGAGAAGATGATGATGTATAGGTTAGAGGAGAAATTTGAGAGGACTGTATAGATTTAAAAGGCTTTATGAGCATTGGAAAGTTCAGCTTTGGGTTAGTTTCCTTTTTATTTTCTCTTTTTTTTTTTAGGTTTGATGAGCGAACTTCCTCATGATTCTTCAGACCATGGGTTTCAAGCCGCACCCATAGATAAGGGGCAAACCCTGCAACCCCCGCCCAACACACGACGTTGGAAATTTCAGGAAATTAATTTATTGTGAGTGCTCGACCTTGGCCCCCCAAGAGTGTCGAAACTAAGACATTGGCCTAATACTCATAGGCATCTTACCAGCTCGGTTGGACCCTCTTGGGTGGTTAGGGTTCTTTCTATGACCAAGAACTCAAGTGAGTTTGGATTATTTTAAGGCTAAATAGGACTTAAATACATTAGATTTTCAATCACTTAGCACTTATATGCCGTAGTTTTTTTCATAGCAATTATATACCTCGAAAGTTCCCATATAACATTCACTTGTTAATTTTAGAGCTATTTCACCATTAATATTTGTTAAATTTACTTTTAATCCTACACAAATTTTATTTAAATGTATCCCAAATCTATTTTAAAAATAAAATTTGGATAGATTTAACAAAATTAATAGTTAGAAAGTTATAAATTTAGCATATGAATGGTATATGAGAACTATAAGATGAATATTTTCACAATTGCATAACAAATGGTACTTACATGTCGGTTTTAAACAACTCGTGTTATACAGAAACTACAAAAAACAACTGAAAGTATGTAAGTGCTAAGTGAGTGAAACCATAAGGTATTTAAGTGCTAATTAGTCTTTTCTTAAAGCAAGTGTTGGGTTTAAACCCACTGAGAAAGAGGTTTAGGGGTAAAACGATAATCTTTTCTTTCGACAGCAACATTTATGGAATAAACCCCTCAAGTGTAATGGGAATTAACCAGCGAGACGATTTTGCAAGATCCTAGTGAGTTGGAGGGACTAATATGCAATTTCTAAGATTTGAGATATTAATAAGGAATGAATATTTGATGGACTAATATCTGAAAAACCCTTTTTTGGGTCAACTTATTTTTCCTTCAAATGACTCTTTACTCAGGGGAGAGGATCTAAATATTGCTTTTTGAAATTTTTGATACGGTCAAGGTCTATATAGTTTGGAGAAATTAAAATGATAATCGAGCAGACCTAGTTCTGACCTCGCATTTATTTGTTAGGCCTCTTTCTTGAAGTCTTATTAGTTTGGGAGGCAGAGTCTAAAGAAGCATCAGCAAGTCTCGGCGCTGTTATTTAGTCTGAGGATTCTTTAGCACCAAAAATTTTATCAACAAAACAAATACTTAACAACAACAACAACAACAACAAAAACTAAGTGAGAATTATAAATAAAGCAAACAAAAGGCATGCAAAAAGCTCCTGAGTCTCACGGTTTTGATTGCATGCTCAAATCTGAATTCAGGAACAAGCGTATGATTAAATTGTAAACTGCATAGCTTCTACCAGAAAATTCCAATAACAACTATACAAGGAGGCACTCAGCTCCACAAATGTCAATAAAACATAACAATTACCATCGCAATTTATCCGACAGTCTCATACAGAGATTCAACCTTCATCCATCCTCATTTTTCCTTTTACGACCAACCGAATCTTTCCCCCTAGAACTTTTAGGCACCATCTCCTCCATAATCTTTGGCGAAGTAAAGCTAAAGTCCGACACAGAAAACTGATCTTTGTACCCCGGATGAGCTTCCAGAAACCTCTCCACCTCCGTCGAGCTCCTCACTCTCTTTCCATTGGGCATAATGTAGGTTATATCAAACTTGGAAAAATCTTTTCTCAGATGCAGGTTTCTCTCAGTATTAGGGGGCGTTTTGGGGATGTTGGGCTTGTCAATGACCCATAATCGACTAGTATCATACTCTATATCTGCAGGATCATCACAGGAAACTTCAGGGTTTTTTTCGCAGAACCATGGATCTTCAATGAAGCTCTCTCTTATGGCATCGTATTCTTCTTTTGTTGGAATCAGCCTCCATTTGAAACATTTGCCGCATTGTACAGCGTATAAGGCAGTAGTAGAGTCTCTGGAAGATTTTGATTTCTGTGAACAATAAAAGAAAGGGTTGCAATCTGAAGTAAATTTAACAAAACTCACCTAAAAGTTTGGGAGTTTTGTGCAAAACACTCCGAACTTTCAAAAGTGTACTAAAACCCTGAACTATTGGAAATTCTTATAAACATCATTAACAGGTAGAAGGTCTACACTATTTACTTTTTATGTACCTTTATCAGAAAAGATAGACATTACAGTTTACTAAAAGAAGAAAAGAAATTATATATTTGGATAGGGATTGAATGTCCAAAACATGTTATATTTAAGCGCAAATCTAGGAGGTTTTGATCTTAAGGAGATAGTAAGCTGTAGAACTAATTGTTAACACAGGTATTCTATGGCACAACCAAAGTGCTTAAGAGAACATACACAAGGCAGTCAATGTTGGTTTCATAAAAAGGGAGTAATATTCCAGGCAGAAATCATTACAAGGTCAAGAAAATCTAAAATGGCAAGCTTACGCATAATAGTGTGCAAGTGTTTCAAATATTTGCCTCTTGTCAGTTTTGAATGACAGCAAGAGGAAGCATATGCACATGCATAACTACAGAATTTATAGATTAGCCTCCAGGGGGTAAGGCTTTCATTTTTTGATTTGGAATAAGTGGTGTCTTACAATATATAGTTTTCAAATATTTTAGGAGGTTAAACTTTTGCATATTTAAGATAAATTTTTTGTTAGTTCATATGAAATTCTGCAGACAATCTTATCATTCTTAGAGGCCTGAATTTTCCTAGATTAAATTTCGCAAAACTGTGATTAACTATTAGGACCCTTGCACAAATTTACCATAAACTTTCTAATAGAGAAAACAACACAAACTATCAAATTTAAAGAAATAATATCAGAAATATCCTAACATGCTAACAACGCTATTCAGAAGTCCAAAATACTCCAAATAGTTAAGAATAGGGAGCGTGAGAGAGTAATTATGTAAAGTAAATAAGGGCAAAATAACTAAATGATGTAACATGCATATCATGTACCAGCTTACGCTAACATCTTGCAGTCATGGTACTTTAGAAGGAAAAAAATTGTGGTGCTTAGTTTGCATCTGTAGTTGTGACAGGAAGAGAAAAGTAGGGAGGGAGATAACTAATAGGAAATGGAATCTATTTCATTACTGGTTTTGTAATGTGCTGTACAGTTGAGTGCAAGTCTCCAAAGTGAAATGGTCATTCCCCTCCTTTTTATACTCTTCATTAGTCTAAGTTTCTATGAAAATTTAGGTCAGCGTCTCTGTTTGTTGAGGTGTGGACTGCATTACCAACAGTTTCTTATGTGTAAACTAATTAGCCATCCAGAGTATATGACAAGACACTCTCTTGTTAATATTTGCTTTGGTGCCAAAAATTTGTCAATAACCATGTCTTCAAAAAATCTTCGCACATAGAATTCTATTTCATAAGAGATACCAATAAAAAAAATTCTTAACATATCTGATGTAGTGCTATTAAAGGCGTGTGCCTCACCGCGCTTCATGCGCCTTGTGTTGCAACGCAGCAGCATCTTTTGCACCTCGCAAGCACGCAAAGCAAATGGTGTATGTGAGACAGACCCGTATATTTTTGTTCTTTAATAACTCAATTGGGTCTTTCTACCCGATAACTTATATCCTAAATAGTAACATAAGCCCTTTAAATCATTTTAGTAGCTCATTTGAGGACCCTAAATAATTCTCATTTACTATTGATTTTGCTTTGATGTTATGTGTGCGATGTGCACCTCACTTCACTCGGGTGTGTGGTATTTATAATTCTCACTTAGTTTGTTGTTGTGTTGTTGTTGTTGTTAAGTATTTTTTTGTTGATAAATTTTTGGTGCTAAAGAATCCTCAGACTAAATAACAGCGCCGAGACTTGCTGATGCTTCTTTAGACTCTGCCCTCCCAAACTAATAAGACTTCAAGAAAGAGCCTAACAAATAAATTGGCGAGGTCAGAACTAGCGTCTGCTCGATTATCATTTTAATTTCTCCAAACTATATAGACCTTGACCGTATTCAAAATTTCAAAAGCAATATTTAGATCCTCTCCCCTGAGTAAAGATCATTTGAAGGAAAAATAAGTTGACCCAAAAAAGGGTTTTCAGATATTAGTCCATTCAAATATTCATTCCTTATTAATATCTCAAATCTGTAGAAATTCGCATATTAGTCCCTCCAAACTCACTAGGATCTTGCAAAATCTGTCTCGTGGTTAATTCCCATTACACTGGAGGGTTTATTCCATAATGTTGCCGTCGAAAGAAAAGATTATCGTTTTACCCCTAAAACCTCTTTCTCAGTGGGTTTAAACCAACACTTGCTTTAAGAAAAGACTAATTAGCACTTAAATACCTTATGGTTTCACTCACTTAGCATTACATACTTTCAGTTGTTTTTGTTAGTTTCTGTATAACACGAGTTGTTTAAAACCGACATGTAAGTAATTTTATGCAATGTGAAAATATATCTTATATAGTTCTCATATACCATTCATATGCCTAAATTTATAACCTTTCTAACTATTAATTTTGTTAAATCTATCCAATTTTATTTTTAAAATAGATTTGGGATACATTTAAATAATTTGTGTAGGATTAAAGTAAATTTAACAAATATTAATGGTTGAAATAGCCTCTAAAATTAACAAGTGAATGTTATATGGAACTTTCGAGGTATATAATTGCTATGAAAAAAACTACCGGATATAAGTGCTAAGTGATTGAAAATCTAATGTATTTAAAGTCCTATTTAGCCTTAAAATAATCCAAACTCACTTGAGTTCTTGCGTCATAGAAAGAACCCTAACACCCAAGAGGGTCCAACCGAGCTTGCGTAAGGATGCCTATGAGTATTAGGCCAATGTCTTAGTTTCGACACTCTTGGGGGGCCAAGGTCGAGCACTCACAATAAATTAATTTCCTGAAATTTCCAACGTCGTGTGTTGGGCGGTGGGGTGCATGCTCAGGGTTTGCCCCTTATCTGATGGGTGCGGCTTGAAACACCATGGTCTGAAGAATCATGAGGAAGGTTCGCTCATCAAACCTAAAAAAAAAAAGAGAAAATAAAAAGGAAACTAACCCAAAGCTGAACTTTCAATGCTCATAAAGCCTTTTAAACTCTTACAGTCCTCTCAAATTTCTCTCTAACCTATACATCATCATCTTCTCCTCAAACCTTTGAAGATAAAAAAGAAGATCTTTTACATCTGTTACTACGAAAACTAAAATAATTTGGAAGATTAAAGGACTAATATGTAATTTCCAGATTTCAGCGACCAAATATGGAATTGATTGAAGATTTGGCCATGTTTGGTTTTGTAACAGCTCGCGGTACTATTTTAAATTAGTTCGGACCCGCTTTGTTATACTATGTTTGATTTGTTTGTTTAACTAGTTGGACTATTTTTGGGTGGGAGGGATTAAGTAATATCCAAAAAACTGCAAAAAGGGGACTAATATAAAACCGCAACTTACCCCAAACTTTTATAATCTGGGTATTGATGATTTAGGGCGTATTAAGATTTTGAGACAAAATTAGCACTCTTCTTTTCATGTTTTTCACAATTTTTTTTTCTTTCTCCAGTTCATTTTTCTTTTCCGGCATCCTTTCTTCTCAGTACTTTTGCACACGTACATATCATTCTGAACTCATCCCGTTAAAAACAAGCAGAAATTAATGAAGCGTTCTCAATCTCCGAGTCATATGTAAGCAAGTACAAGTCAAGTGCAACTTAAACAACAACTCTATCCTAATTGGTTCTCTTCTCATTATGATTCACAGCTGCATTCAATAACATTAGTTGGATGTCCGTTTCTAAACTTCATATTTTTTACGTCTGCGTCTGCATTCACATGGCACATTACAGTTCTACCACCATGATATTTGTTTTTCTTGCAAGTTAAAACACACATAGCACAATGCATCTTTATTTTTTATTCTTCTTTGTTTAGCTATATATATATATATATATATATATATATATTATATATATATATATATATTCAATATGGGTATGCTTGGTACCAAACACAAAAAGTTATGCTTGTTAGTGATTGTCACATCTTCGCCACTCGATTAATTATGGTATACATTCACATGGATTAGAGAGCACATGAGCATGTAACACCTCACTATCAAGCACAAAATTTGTGTTTGGCACCAAGTTCCTACATTTTTCTCATATATATACACACACATAGTGTACAAATATATACATACATATGTATATATTTATGTATATACATACATTTACACATACATATGTATAGATATATACATACATGTGTAAATATATATATATACACACACAGTGTGTGTGTATACATACATACACACAGATATGTATATATTTATGTATATATATTATATACACACACATGTATAGTACATGTGTGTGTGTCTATATATAGGGGAAAGTGTGTATAAGATGTCACCTTATACACCCTCTAAGGTGGCGCCTATGTGGAGAAATCTCCAACTTCCATTCAAATAAATTGATCAAACATAAAAAATTTTAAATTAAAAAGTGTATGGGCCCCACGCACGCTCTCTTCCTTTCTCAGATCTTAATAATGGAGGCGCCCACCCACTATCTCTCCCCCTCCCCTTCATCGATCTCTTCTCTCTCCCATTCCACAGATACTCTTTTTCCTCCAACCCCTAACCCGCCATTGATTCGCCATCGAGCCGCTGTCACCGGCCTGCCAAAGCCCGCAAGCGGACCAACGCCATCATGTTCGAGCGCCAATGTCGCGAGCTCCCAACCGCCACCCAGAAGTCGTCGCCCTCCGCCGCCAAAGCCAGCGAGCTCCCAGCGCCGCCACTCGCCCTCCATGCCCAGTGCCGCTGCCCGCCTCAACGCTCCCCTTTGAGTCTAAATAAAGAAGAAATTGAGTTGGAAAATTGAGTTGTTCTTGTTTAGATGTTTTTGGTCTAATTTTAATGCTATTTATGATAGGTCTGAATCAAAATTAAATCTTTTGGAAGGTTTTTTTCGGGTCAAATAAGGTTATGCAGATCTCATTGGGTGAGTTTGTAGGCGATGACGTCAAGCTGGGTTGTCATAAGCTTTGCTAAAGTAATTTTTTATTATTTGTTTGCTAGTAGTATTGTGTTTTTGTTGTGTTTGTGCTAATTTGGGGATTGGTTTCACATGCAGCTTCCACGCCTTCGAGCGCTGCCACCTTTAATGGTCGCCTCTTTGTTATTTCAAAAAATTTATCGAGCTTATTGTGTTTGCTCAATTTCAAGACTGTTGGGTATTTTAGCAATACCAAGGTGTCTATTTTTTGCTTCAATGAAAATTACAATCTTTATGTTCTGTTTGGTGCAAGGGAAAAATATCAAAAGTTTAAATTTTCTCTTACAAATAGTTTGATTGTATGTAGAGAAGAAAATGTATGTGACTTTGTAAAGAATGTTATGTATGTGAAATTATTTTTGTACACTTATAAGCTTATTTTCTTGTAAGGGAAATGATGATCATCTTTGGAGGTTCATGACTATTTATAAGAGATTTTGCATAAGAGCAAAATGTATGATCACTTCAGAAACTCGTATCTTTGAGCAAGAGCATTGAACTTGTATTTTTAAGTTGTTAGAGCGATAATACAACAGAAAATAGAGTTGACTTTTTTGAGTGACGAAGAAGCTTGTATTTGGGTCTTTCTATTATATTTCATTGCGAATTACTTAATTCTTACCTATTTCTCATCCTTACGCAAGTGACATCAAAGCAAACCATATCTTCAAGTATGCGAGATTAAGTATGCATCTTCCTCTTCCTAAAAAACATTCATGATGGAATTATTAATTTAAAAACAAACTATCATTTTCCAACTCAATTTCTTCTTTATTCAGGCTCAAAAAAATACAACTATTCTACTAGTGAGTAACAAAACTCATGAACTCCTCTCAATTTTTTTAAGTATGAATCATAACATAAACACAGATCACTAATTTCTCACATGAAAATGGATGAAAATTAGTTTTTAAGGTAACTCGTCGAAGGGGGTCATCGAGGCAGCATCGAAGGGATTCGCCAAGGAGGGCGTCGCAGCTATAAATGAGTGTGAGATGGCGTCGTTCTCATCAGCGAGTCAGTGGGCTGGAGTGTGGAGCAAAGGGGATCGTCAAGGCGGGCGTAGAGGCGGGTAGCAGCACAGGGAGCTCACGAGCGTGGGCGTGGAGAGCGGCGACGACAGGAGCTCGCGGGCCTCTAAGAGCGTAATGCGGAGATCGTGATATGCGTCGCGCTCGACAACAGTGTGAGCGTTCGGCTGCTTCGCTTCGAGCGTGCTCGCACGCAAGGTCAGGCGGGCGACATGTCCAGCGGGGCGGAGGGAGGAGCGGGATATGTGAAGCGGAGAAGAGAGATCAGTGAAGGGGAGAGAGATCTGTGAAAAGCGGGGGATGAGAGAGATAGTGGGTGGGGCCCTCCATTATTGAAAGAAGAGAGAGATCTGAGAAAGGAAGAGAGTGTGTGGGCCCGTGCACTATTTAATTTAAAATCTTTATTTTTTATGTTTGATCAATTCATTTGAATGGAAGGTGGAGATTTCTCCACATAGGCGCTACCTTAGAATGTGTATAAGGTGGTATCTTATGCACACTTTCCCCATATATATATATATATATATACACACACATATATATATATATATATACATAGGGAGAGGTTCAAATAAAAACCTCACTATCCTAAAAACTAAAAACCTATCCACTCCGTTGGATTGAGATTCATCCAATGGCTGAGATTATAAGACAATTAATGCTGCATAAGGGTAATCAGGTAAATTTATCAGCCTCCAAAGAGAGGTAATTAATGTGACTGTTGAGTTCCCCAAAAGTCACACCTCTCTTCAGTTGAAGGATTCGGTCATCCTCCAAAGAACCCAACTTTCTCTCTCTCCTACCCAGCTATCTCCTCTCTCTCTCTCGTCCGCCATCAACACAAGCTTCCACGCCGGCAAAGCCAAGCTCCCAAACCCGACCTCTAGTTCCGCCTGCACCCTCGCTGTCCCTCCAACCCGACCATCTCCATCTCCTCCGCTCCATTCCCAGCGAACCCGCCAACTCGAGTCGTCAACCCCACCCCCGCTCGAGCTCCGACCAGCAGCGACGACCGCGCCGCCTGAGTTCACCGTCAACCCCAAGCCCCGACGAGCCCCCGCCGGCGAACTCCGACCCTAGTCACCGCCTCACCTCCTCTCCGACCTCCTTCCTGAAACGCCGTCAGCCCCATTCGCCACCACCACGACCAGCCTTCGCATAAAAATTGTAACTTTTTGCTTAAAATCATCAAACACGTTCTATAAATGCATGAGTGAATCTCGATTCACTTCAGTGAATCTCGATTCACTGCAGTGAATCCAGCTTGTTTTTACTTCAATAAACGATGAGTGGAATCTAGATTCACTTCAGTGAATCTCGATTCACTGCAGTGAATCCAGATTCAATTATGTGAGGTGTTTGTTTTTTTACCATAAAAATCATAACTTTTTGCTGTAAAAGGTGAAAATTTTTCATGTTATAAAATTTTATAGCTTGTTTTTTACCATAAGTTTCTTATTCTGCTGGATGGTTAGAATGATTCACAAATCCAGTGGAGCAGCAAATCGATTGGAGTGAATCCAGATTCAATTCGTTGGAGTGAATCTGGATTGAAGATCAATTCAGTGAATCCAGATTCAATGCGTTGTTGTGTTCTTCATGTGAGATTTCAGAGATCGGGAAGCGAGTTAGAGAGAGAGAGAGTATTAAAGAATGTAGCACTATTAATGTAAGAGAGAGTATTAAAGGACGTGTATTAAATTTGTATCATTGTTCCAATGTAATCAGTCACCATTAATGCAATGAATTGTTCCAATTTTACCCTTTTGACATTAATGCAGTGTATTAAATTTGTCTATATTTACAATTCTACCATCGAAATCTAGGCCATTGGATGAAATAGAATGTAGGGTTAGGATTGGTTTTTAGTTCTCTAGGTTTTTATTAGAAACCTCTCCTAATAATAATATATTATATATATATATATATATATATATATATATATATATATATATATACATATGAATGTATTTGTGTAAATATCCATATGTGCGTCTAGCACATATGTGTGCAAAAGGACTTTACGCCGCATCGCCTTGCGCATTGATGACACTGATTTGATGATGCTTGCTATGTAACCAGCACTTATCAGAAACGAAAACAACAGCCATGTAACCAGCACTTATCAGCATTGATGACACTGATTTGATGATGCTTGCTATGTAACCAGCACTTATCAGAAACAAAAACAACAGCCATGTGCCAGAAATTCCAGATTCCCATGGGCACTAGAAAATTTGAATAGGGGTGACTATTAATTTCTTAGAGTAATATGATGTATATGTCAGCTAATATTCATAATCCAGAACATCAATTTATAATGGTATAGCGATTAAAAAAGCATGGTATGCTATATATTATGAAACACATTTTGTTAGATTCAATCAACAGTAATGTGAATAACTATATACTTATATTGACTATTAAGAAACTAGAATAGTATGCATATGCAATGCGTATACAAATTAAATACAAGTCCATCATTTACACAATGAATATTTAACTTCCCACTTTTAGATGTTCATGATATGTCTCCGATAGATATGGATTTCTTTGCAAACTTCAGAATACATCAAGTGGGGTATGAAACACATCCATTTTCTATCATAACATCAAAGTATTAGATTTGGCATAACAAGCACGTAAATTTGCACATACACAGACAAATTTGTAAACATAAACATATGCACAAGCACAAAAATAAAGGCTAAGGTACCATATTGGCCCAAAAGTGACACCCATTTACCATTTTTGCTTAAAAAGTGACACTGGTGACATTTTGACATTAAAAGTGATGTTGACGACACCTAGGTCTTTTTGGTCACCGGAGGCAATATTTAAGTGAAATATTATGTGATTTTTTCATATAGACTCCTCAATCGTCCATATTTTTTGGATTAATCCCTCTCCGCTCCCCAAATTCTAAAATTCTGAAATTGGCGAAACATAGGCCTTTCTGATCCCCAAAGTGTCGCCAGTGTCAATTCTTAGGCCAAAGTGATAATGGGGCATCAGTTTTTAGGTCAATTTGATATTTTAGCTCAAAAAAAAAGACATATACACGTCCACGCATGGATACACACTACATTCCATGTGTATTCACATACGCATGCTCCCCCCCACCCCACCTTAGTGGGTGAGGGTTGGCTTGGGAATAGGACTGAAATGAAGTTCAGTTACTACTAACAGGTAAACAGTTCTAATCCAACAAAAAAATTCATCAACCCCAACACTCCTCTTACAAATATATCAGGTTCCCAGTTTGTCCACTGCTTTTAGGATGATAGGTTATACTCAAACTCAATTTGCACCTTGAATGTTGAAGAATCCGTTCTAATTTGGGTGAACATTCGGGCTGTGCCCATTAACCCATAAGTAATCCATTTGAACACGAGAAGGAATTGAGCTCTCAAGCTGATGTGATAGTCCAAGAACTAGAAAATGGGAGAATTTCCAAGAAAATTGAAGTTGCTAACTTGATATCATGGGCATCGAGCAAAAGGTAAACATGGATCTACTCATGACAGAAGCCATTACAGGAGTCAAGTAAATAAATATACAACCTGAAGAATAAATTTCAGTGCATTTGAATCCGATATCTAAAAGAGAAATTTACCCGGGGAAGCTACAAGAAACTCTATGAATTAAACTAACACATGGTTCTTGATATAAATTTCCCATCAACAATGTCAAAGTCTCTTGAAAATCTAATCTAAACTTTAAATCAACCATTAAACATAAACACATAAAAGTTCGCAAGATATAAGATTGTAAACAAACCCAATAAACTATCCATCAAATAAAAAGATTCACAGAGATAAAATACCTCCATCGACGAGAAGCGGCGCAGTCCCCCGGAGGCAAGCATTGGGTTTGATCTCTATTTAATTGCAAATCGCCCCCGCTGTCATCTTATTAAGGCCGTGACAATTCGAGAGGTCTACAAGTTCAAAGGGCGGTGATTAGGTCGAAACCCTAGCTGGGATCCTCAGCTCACTTGGGATTCTGGAGGTTGGATTGGGGCCCAGTCATTGGGCCGCTGTATTTAATTTGTTTGGCTACATGTTTGTAATAGTTTTATTTATTGAGCGCCTGCTTCCAATTTGGTTAGGCTTGGAGCCTTGGACTGTGTCGGCCATGTCTATAGTGAAAGTCTGAAATATTTTATTTGTTTATGATTGGACAAATTTAAAAAGAAAAAAAGCTCCTTTTCAAAATTTATTAAGCAAAATCGACCATTTAGATTTTTAATAAGCAAAACCGACCATTTTCTCTTGAAAATGGTCGGTTTTAGAGAAAATGGTCGGTTTTGCAGCATGGAAGTTTTTTCGAAGTGTACGGGACTAGTAATCCCGTACAGTTCGGATGCTGCAAAACCGATTCTTTTCTCCTCAAATGGTCGGTTTTGCTCATTAAAAATCCAAATGGTCGTTTTTGCTTAATAAATTTTAAAACAAAAGGCTTTTTTAAAAATTTGTCCTTTATGATTATATGCTTCCTCTAATTTAGATTAGTAAAAGTATGATGATTATCCATGATACTTTTTTTGGTAATTTCTTCTGCGGAGCAAGAAATAAGCACATGGGATTTAGTCATTTCCGATGAAGCGGTAATTAGAGAGAGTGTAGTTCTCTTAATTTATATCATCTATCTCAATTTCAAACGATGAGATTAGTGATGGATTTAGAAATGGATTTAGAAATTTTTTTCCTATGGGGGCATGTATACTATTATGCATATAAATTAATAATTTATATAATATAAATTTTAATAATAAAATAATTATTTATTCAATAATAAAAAAAGATTTCAATTCATAACTCTTTGTATTATCATTTTCATCTTAAAAAATTAAAAAGTAATAAAGACACTACTAAATTCTAAAAATAGTGCGTCAAAGTTGTGTGAAATTATCAACATTATTGGGGCACCTATATAAATTATATGGGGGCAGCTATATAAGTTTTCATATTCTTTAATAAAAACTTTAAATTTTTGTGGGTGCATGTGTCCCCACTAGAGAGCACTTGCTTCCGTCCTTGAATGAGATGATGGCACATAAGATTTCCACTATAAAAATAAGTGGTTTTGATTATAGTGGTTTTTAAGATTTATTAGTGTTTTTTAATACTGAAGTGGTTTTTAAACAATAATGGAAATCTTATGTGGCGCGATCTAATACATTCGAATTGAGATAAACGGTAAGTACTGAGAAAATTGGACCCTCTTCAACTACCACTTAGTTGGAGAGAATTCAAACCCCACTAAATTTTGAAAAAACTAGTGAGACTTGTACGTGCGTGGAGTATATGCAAATGTGAGATGATTTTTTAAACATTTACTTCTAAACCTGTAAATCATGACCTCCCCATCAACATATGCAAAATGATGTCTTAAACAATTACTTATAAACAACTATTATGAAAACTCACTGAGAACTCCAAATCAGTTGGCAAATTGAATTAATAAATTGCACTCAACTGTGAATTCAAATTCCATAACAAAGAGAAATATAGAAGTTCATAAAATGTTCAGAGAGATTACCTGCTCAATAGTTGCAAAACCTTCTTGTAATTGCAAGAGGTTTGATCTAATTGATAGTATGTACTTGAAGTTCTAAAAGTATATTTAGCGCTTATAGTTGTTTGCATGTACATAGATCCAAAATAATATGCACAGAGTACAAATTTCGTCTAGTTTTAGTATGTCACATGGAGTTCCAGAAGGATACACATAGAGTATATTGTTGAAAACAGTGTGTCGGTCGATCGAAATTGCAAGTCAATCGACCGAATACAGGAAAAATCAGCACATAGAAAATCGGTCCGGTCAGTCGACTGATTAAAACAATTAGTCAACTAATCGTGTGCACACTACAGGACTGGAAAACAGACGAACTGGACAGTCGACTGATGATGGTTCATCAGTCGACCGATGAAGACCTATCAGTTGATTGATGAGCCATCATCAGTCGACCGATAATGAGTAATTGGGCTGAAGCTGTTTCCTAATCTGTTTTGGAATTAGAGTATATAAATAGAAGCAAGTTTTGTTAGGGGTTTACAACAAAGAAAAGGGGTTGTTTTGAGCACTTTGAGAGAGAGATTATTGTGAGGGTGTGAGATCTTTTGGTTAGGGTTATTTTGAGTGTTTGGGAGAGTTGTAACCCATTATTTTTCTCCTCCATATAGTGAAATCTCCTCATCCTCTCCCCGTGGACGTAGTCAATTTGCCGAACCACGTAAATTCTCTGCGTTTATGAGGTTTTGGTCGTTCTCATTGTGAATTGTGCTCGTGGTGTTCTTCTTGCATTGTTTGCCTAGTTCCAAGAATCATGTCTTCTTAAACATTAAAATTGGAATGGTTAGTAAATGATAGAATTAGGGGGTGTTTGGTTCAATTTCTACAAATTATAGGACATGTTTTCTACCCAAAATATGATTTTCTTGTATTTCTTAAAAAATTATAGAAAAAGTTTTGAGAAGTCAAAAAATACCAATTTTCTTTTTTTTTACTTTGCTTGTTTGGTTCAAAACAAGAAAATGACCCATAAATTTATAGAAAATAGCAAGATTTTCTATAATTTGTAGAAATTGAACCAAACACCCCCTAAATTTATAGAAAATTGTTAACTTTATAGAAAAATGTCAATGTTGTGTCAGATTTTTGGGTGATTTCCGTCCATTTTGAGAGAAAATTAATTTCTGTAAATTTTGGTACTTCTTTGTACTATATAGAAAACATTTCTGTAATTTTTTTAAACCAAACACAGTTTACGGAAATCTACAGAAAATTTTTAATTACAGAATTGTCATTGTCAGACATTTTGAGAAATTTTTTTTATAAAATTGTGCAACCAAACACCCATTTAGTGGATATGTTACCCGTACTTGTAATTAATCACTAATTAGGGGGATTGTGTGTATATAGATTATCTTATCCAAATTAAGGAGTGCCCCCTAGGTATCCGTTAGAAAAACCCAAGTAAAAAAAATAAAAAAAGGAAATCTTAATAGATAGAAGAAAAGAGGAGAGGTCTAATAAAAATCCCTAGTCACAAATATTGTTATTATGTAACTTAAGGACGTATTTCCGTAGGAAAGTATGGGTCTTACATAAAATAATCTCAGGATACATAATCCACCTGAAACATAAAAATGAGTGAATCTAGAAGCTAAATGTACAATATCATGCACAACTTGATTTGCTTCACGTTTATTATGAGAAACTTTTGTCAAGAATCTACTTCAATCTTTAAAGGAAAAAAGTACACCTTGTTGGGCAAGTTTAAGGCCCCATCGTAGAAAAAAATTCATTCCATTTTAAAACATTTGATGAATCTCTCTCTCTCTCTCTCTCTCTTCAAATGCACTGATTTCCATATGAAAATAGGACAAGTTTTTAGAAAAGACCATTTTCAAAACAATACTAACAAAACCGACCTAGTTATAGTAAAATTAGCAAAATCGATTGTTTTATATCCACGTCAGCACATCTGGATAGAAAACAGTCGATTTTTCTGAAAAAATGTTTGGGAATTACATGAGACTACTAGTCCCGTATAATTGGTCTAATTTCATTTTGGATGGATCCTTTGTAGGCACAATTTTATTTACACAAGAAAAACCCAAAAGCGACACATAAAAGAAAAGGAGCAACCTCTCACCACAAAATCATCTCCATCATCATCCAAACCCACCTCAAACTCAAAGTCTCGCCTTGCAAGCCTAAAAGAAGTCCTGGCCCACTGCGAATCCCAAGGCCTAGACTCCAAATCCGCATTCCTAAAAGCCATTTTCGACCTCCAATCCCTCGTATTCTGCTTCTCCTTCGTCGTTGTCGCCACCAGGTCCAAGAACGGCAACCCCGCTGGCATCGCCCACAAGCTCGACGAAGCTCAATGCTCGCCTCGCCGTCCTCGACATGAAGCTAGACTCTGAGCCCGGACTCGCCCAGCTGATCGCCATTGAACCCTATCTAAAACTCTAGCTTGCGTTAATTATGGTATTAGTTCTTGTTTGTGTATGCAAAGTGAGATTATGGAAAACCCCCGCTAATTACACGGGACTAGTAATCCCGTGTAACTTTTAAAACCTCATAGGTCGATTTTGCTAATTTTATTATAAAATGGTTGATTTTGCTTATATTGTTTTAGAAAAGATCTATTCTAAAAATTTCTCTTAAGAAAATATATAATAGTCTTCACTCCGACACGTATTACTTTCCTCTACCGTTTTCTTTTCATTTGTTTACACCAAAATTATTAGCACAATCCACATGGGCATGTTTGTTTGCACAGAAGTAATTATGAAGTAGTTGAAGTAAAAGAAGTAGAGACTACTTTTGCTACTTCTAAGCAAAAAAATGTGTTTAGTTCTCTAAAAAACTTACTTCCCTTAAACGCTTATGTGGCGCCTATGTGTCATTCTTACTATTAAAATATTTTTTAATCCTCATTACTTAAAAGTAGCTCAGAAGTAGTGAAATACATATTAATTAAGAAATAAATAATTTTTTATTAATATTTTCTTTATTAGTTACTTCTAACAATTTCTCATTGATAAAATTGCTTTTAATTTTAACAATTATTTTGTAGTAATTTGTGATGGTCGTTGGCCAACTTTTCTTTGGGATGAAGAGAACGGTTTGTCTATTAATTCTTTGTCTAAATATCACGTTGATGTTACGATCAAATGAGCGAGGGAGGAGGAAAATTGAAGATTCATAGGAATTTATGGTCATCCGGAGTCTCATCGTAGGCGAGAGATAAACAATTATTTTGATGCTATGTGGTTGAAGGATTCTTCCTGCTCTCAAGTGGCGAGGGGTCATAGCGGCATGAAACTGGTTGTAACGTGCTAGACCAAATTAAAGAGCGTGGCGTGGTTTTGAAATTGTGGAAGCAACATGTGTTAATTACTTCATAGTAATGTTTTCAAATGTTATCCAAACAAAAAAAAGTAAATGAAAATGAAGGAGTTCTACTTCCATTACTTCTAAAAATATATAAAACAAACAAAAAAAAATGCTATTTCCATTGCTTCCTATTTTATAGTTTTGAAAGTTACTTCTATAACCTACTTCTTACTTTTAATACTTCCATTATCCAAACGGGTCCTAAGTGAAAATGGAAAAAAGAAAATGCACAACATGATTCACATTTAGGGCATGTTTGTTTGCACGGAAGTAATTATAAAGTAGCTGAAGTAAAAGAAGTAGAGACTACTTCTGCTAATTCGAAGCAAAAAAATGTGTTTGATTCTCTGAAAAACCTACTTCCAATACTTCCCTAAATGCTTATGTGGCGCCTACGTGTCATCCTTACTTCCAAAATAATTTTCTAATCCTCAATACTCAGAAGTAGCTCGAAAGTAGTTAAAATGCATATTAATTATGACATAAATAATTTTTTTTATTAATATTTCCTTTATTAGTTACTTCTAACAACTTTTCATTGATAAAATTACTTCCTAATAATATTTCCAAATGTTATCCAAACAAAAAAAGGAAATGAAGAGGAAGAAGTTCTACTTCCATTACTTCTAAAAAAAAAAAAACAACTATTTCCACTACTTCCTACTTCATAGCTTTGAAAGTTACTTCTATAACCTACTTCTTACTTATAATACTTCCATTATCCAAACGGGTACGAAAATATCCACATGGATCGGTCGCCACACAAACTTTCCAATTTTATGTAGAATAGTTGAATATAGACCGAACTTTGTGCAATCTAAAACATATTTACTTCTTGGGCGTTTGGATATTGGATCCTTAAATATTGGATATTACAAAATTAGTCCCTCACATCATCTAAATTTATATCCAGTCCCTTAAAACTCATTCTTTGTCTTAAATTAATTCTTTTGTTATATATGTAATCCTTCTAATTGCTAAGTCAATTTAGATTAGTTATTAACTACACATGGTGAATTGGATTCGAATCCCCTCCAATTAGGCGATAATTGGAGAATGTCTCATTATTTCAATCTCTATCCTTTATTTCAAATTTCAACAGATTAGATGGATCAATGTAGGATTTTCATTATCACAATACTAGTTTTCACAATATTTTTTAAAAGATAATAGTGATTTTCAAGAATATTTAGAGTCCAATGGGGTTTAGCACTCAAAATTGGAATAAAGGATAAGGATTTGAATGATTGTGTATTACCCAATTACCATCTAATTGGAGAGGATCTCAACTCTGGATTATATTTTTAGTCGTCAATTACTCATCCCACCATCCCCTACCCAACATCTCAAAAAATTTGAAAACACAAGTTTAAAGAAGCAGATTTAAACTACTCTAACAAAAGTGGATGAATGTAACTTAAATAGATAGCTGTAATTGAAAGACCATTAAAAAGTTAAATTAAATGGAATTTTCTCCTACATCAAATTGTCGTTATATATAGGACTACTTTGTAATATGGATAATTAATATAAATCCCTTAAATCATCTTTAATTGTCAAAAACTCCCTCAAAACTCGGTATTTGCCAAAATCTATACCAAATCATCATTTTCATTTCCAAAACATCTCTCTGTTAAAATTTGTGTTATATTTTCTAACTAGAGATGGGTCAAGCCTTAACCCAACACTAGAAATTCCCCAATACCCATAGGAATAAAATGTAATGAAGAATTTAGAGGAATATATAAGTTTT